TGTATCTTGTTTGTTTCAGTGCGTGTCACGTTGTAGTGGTCTCTATCGCTTTTGCAGGCTGCACACGTCACTTTGAGCAGCGCCTAGAATCGTGGACGGTTGGTCCTCCTAACCTAGTTAAAAGGGTTCATATGGGCCTGTAAATCCCAATAGTAGAACCACCTACTCAAATGACAAAGGTGTTTTTGCCGCGTTTTGGACGCGTTTTGGAATTCGACACCAGAGTGATCAACACTTAGAGCAATACACACTGGGGGACAGTATTGGGATATAAAGTTGCACATGTGAGCCTGTATTTGGATTAGCATAGATACACTCAAGCTACCAAGTTGAACTGCAAGCACAACCTGAACCTGTGCATTATCATTATGACTTCATGGTACTTCTGTGAAATCAAGACCACGTCTTGGCGACGTTACGTTCGGGAGCATATTGTTGAATGAACCCCTGTCGGTTTCTAATGGCAAGACTGCTGGGCAATGCTGAATTGCCTCCGCCCTTTTTAGACTTGAGTTTTGGTGAGGTGCTTGAAATATCATTACCTAGGGCTTCAAGAACCTGTAAAAATGTCGTACCCTGACTAAAACATCGTGTTTTTCTCGATTTTCTGAAAACATCGTGTTTTCAGGAAAAACATCGTGTTTTTGATAAAACCCCTTAAAAATGGGCTTCTGAGGCCAAACACTCATTTGGGGCAAAGGGTCAAAGGCAAGGGTCGGGAGTGGAGTCACAGGCATCACCCATTAAGATTCAACTGAGGGCAACGCTCTATACTGAGTATGCTTCAAATTCTAAGGACCACATTGATGAGCCTGACAGCCAGGTTTTGCAGCTGGCTTCAGTCTTGAAGCACCTTTCACAGCAACAGGCACTTGAAGACTGGCGCCAGGTCATACCGAACCAGTTTGAAGGGGGTGCTGGAATCCGAAAGCTCCTTTTGGTGCAAAACAAGACCTGGTGACACCTTTTGAGATTGTTGTTGTTGTTTTTCTTTTTTTTTAAAAAAAGAAAACACACATAAATTTTATGTTTTTTTTTTTTTAAGAAAATGGGGCGGGATCCTGGCGGCTAACCGCAGAAACCCGTAGAAAACCCGTAGAAACCCGTAGAAAACCCGTAGAAACCCGTAGAAAGCCCGCAGCCCCAACCGAAAACATTGTGTTTTTGGAAAACATCGTGTTTTCTAACCCGTAGCTAATCCGTGGAGAACCCGTAGTAAAGCGTGGCAAACCGTGGAAATTCTATGGGTTTTCGGGTTCAACCACGAATGCGCTAACTCGAGAATGTTGATGGAAAACAACGAAGTCGTGAGCAAAAGCACGGTCTTTGCTTGAGCTTGCGCGCTGTTCGAAGCCAGCAAGCCCTTATCATGGCATTGCTGCTTGACAAGTGTCATAAAACCGTGGTACTTTTGACTATTTGGGTCCCCGGCCTCCTTCTTTCAGATTGGAGTTGCGAAAGACGAGTGGCGAATGCGAAGCTGATTCGTTACGAGCGCAAAAGGGTTGGGCGATGGGAGATTCTGAGGTTGAGATGATGCTTTTGAGATCTTTTGTGAACGGATGACGAGTTGAAGGAATGTATGCAAAAATGCTTGAAATCGAAAATGCGGTGTTTCCCGAAAACATCGTGTTTTCCCAAAAAACATCGTGTTTTTTGTAGGTATGTCATTTTCATCGGTTTTTGATGCTCCTGGTAGCTTCATGTTGCCATTTTGGGCACTGAGACGCCTGAGACTTTCAGAGTATAGAGATATTGGTGATATATTATATGGGTGGCATGTCTCTTTTTGTGGCTGACTGGGTAACGCTTTGTTTTTTACGACTGTTTAATGGAACATCCAAAATGAGACTGACAAAGATGCTGGCAGGGTACTGTTTTTTTTTGGGGGGGGAGGGGCATGAGGAGCGTTCCCGCAAAAAATAGACAAAGCACAGAACACAGGGTCCAACCCACTTCTCCGTCCGTAATTACACTGAAAGTCCGAGAAACCGATGTTCAGCAGAGGAGAGTCCCAACCGTAGCTGCGGCCACATCTTTTTGTCCCACGAACATAGCATTTGTGGGAGGCACCTGGAAGATCAATTTCCTCCTCAAAGGACCCTCTGTCAGGTGCCATATTAATGGGAGGGAGGATGAATCCTTTTGACATCAGGTTTTGATCATGACTCAGGTGATGAAAGAGTTCAAGTCCGGCTGTGTCTTTGAGGACACATTCTTCAAGGAGGACATCGAAGCCGTGAAGAAGGCGTTGGTTTTGGATGGAATCTCGCTCATGACGTAAGTTGCTTAAGGAAGGAAATCCAATTGATATTTCAGGTGTTGGAAAAAGAGACAAAATAAACACATTGCTTAAGGAAGGGGATCCAATTCTTACTCCAGCACCTCAAGAGCTAGACTTTGCAGATCTCGGGGTCTTCGTTGCCGGCTTTCACAATGACATTGGAGGGGTTCTTAGTTGAGCAATGGTCACAACTTCTAGTAAGGTATCGGGGTGGCAATGTCGGCTCATATCTCCCCTTTTGGGCAACCTAAGAGGGTTCTAAGAAACTATGAGCCTATGAAGGCTCTCTTTTTTGGGCGCCCTGATTTGAGACGGCCATTTTGCTAAATCAGTCATTGCAGCCCACGAGTACATCAACAAACTGTTGATTTTGGTGGGCCCTTGTTTGGGTTGGTCACTTCCTCTCAGATTATCCTGGAACCCTCAAACAATCATAAGAGAATAGAGGAATCTTCTCCAGGGGCCTTTGTAGTGGATTCCGTGTTGTTGCAGGGGTTGCATTGTCACCCAGATGTTATTCTCAGATGGGTTTGCAGTAGAAGCTTCCATGATACTTAGTCTTTGTTTTGTTCTCTTTTGGGACCAATCCAAACCATGTCCTGGATAAACCACTGGCCCATAATATACCAAACGGCTCATGTCCTTACGGGTTTCCACCCGTCTTGGACACCAGCAGCAGGAAATCAGTTATGCACCCAGGGGCCAATCCTAGTTGATTCATACGGGGTGTCCGATGAACCTCTCTTATTAAATCCACATTATGAATTCGGGTTGACACTAGAACTTCTATTGGCTTGGGTGTTCTGCGAGGTTGGTAAGCTAGGTCCCCCATTAGTGCCCTTTTACCCTTTTTTGGAGGAGGGTTCCCCTACTAAAATAGACTACAGAAATAAGGGGTACCCTTATTCTAACCTCTCTACTGGAGGACTGAGTAAGTGTTTGATAGCCTACGTCATTCGCCCTCCTTAAACTGGCTGCTAACAGCTTGGCCGATTTGTTTTTGAAGGAACACGAACAGTTGAACACCACCAACTGATGTCAACAGTTGAACACCAGTCCAATTTGGGCCTCTGCGACACACCCAACGAGACTCCCAGAACATCGCTGGAAAAGGCGGGCGAGCTCATCCAAAAGTTCAACGAGGCTGCAGTGGCCCCCTGGCCTTTCGGGTGAAGCGAGGGGAAGTGGTTTCACGTCCCTTCGGGTGTGGTCGAAGCTGGGAGAAACCTAAAAATGGGACCTTCAAAAAAGGCGCCCCCCACGTCCTATGGATTTTGCAGGCTACTGTTGGTTTTGCGCAGAATGCAATGGTTGATTGGTATTGGCTTTAGACGAGACTATTCCTATGGGATTTCTGGTGGTCTTGTCGTCAAACGAATCAGAAATTGGTGGTAGGGATGGTGATCATCAGGCAACCAACGTAAGGGAAACTGAAACCATGGGTCCAAAATTGGAAGTTTTTGACATTAGAGACGCCAGCAAGGCAGAACAACTCTACACAAGGTTAGGCAAAACTGTGGGATTTGTGGTGCGAATTTGGGCAACCTGGTGCAGATGTTTGTGGTTATGCTTTGCCACAGGCTCTTTTGAGGTTTATGGCGTGGTTTTTCAGCTACCTGCCTTAGTTCTTGGATGGTTTTTCCCTAAGGTTGACTTGAGGGGTCAAATGGCGTGATTTCGTATCTCACGGGGTATCCCCTTGAAGTTCTTGAAACCCTTGAATTAAAGCCACCCTTCGTTGCGTCAAATCAAGTTCTGGTGTTGCCTTCTGTTGGTTTGCCGTTTGAAGAGGGGTCCGGTTGCAACATATATGTATGGGCAAATTGCAAGGATCTCAACACAGTTGCTGAGATTTCCCTTGTGTTCGTTTCGGGATAATTTTCTTGATGGCACCCCCAACTGCCCCCCCTTTTGGGTTCCCCAGTCTTCCCCCCCCCCCCCCGTTAAAGGGAAAGCACCAGGCAAACCGCCGTTGTGGGGAGACCCAAAGTTGACTGACCCAAATGAAGCATTGTGGGTGAATGGGACATCATTCCATCAATCCAAACCGCTGATAGTTCCTTCCATCCCAACAACCAGCCATTGTCCGAAAAGGGGTTCTGATGGTTTTCCAGAAATGTTCGGAGAGAAAAGACACACTGTGACTTGAGTGCAAAAGGGCAACACGGGTGACGTAACTTGCTGGTGCTGAATAGGGAATGATCTTCCGGGTGTTGGGAATGAACGGATTCACTTAAAGCCATGGTTTTTCTTGGGGTCATTCCAACTCTCATTCCCCTATCGAAGCAGCAAGATGATGTCAAATGAGTCACAAGCAAAACGCGGGTAATTGGAGGATAGTAAGGGACAATCCCAGCCACTGGGTGCAGAGATCCGCCCAGTCATTCGTATTGAAGCAAGTTTCGTCCATTTTACTTGCTGGTGCCCAGTCGGTCGGGAATGTGAAATGGAACGAACCCAGAACCCCCTTGGAGGTACCCACAGGCGATGTGTTAGCGATGGGCCATTCCTTTTCTCCTTTAAGCAAGTCTCATACTGGGTTGTCAATTATGACTTTGGTGGTCCCTATCCGCAGCCAGCTGGAAGAAAAATGGATAAGGAATATGAAGAAGCATGTTATGTCAAGGAATGGTGAATGGAGAAACTGATGAAGAGCTAAACGATGAAGATAGCGAGTGAACGAGCAAGGACAGGAACGAAGGAACACACATGTAACGAGTGAAGAGACAGCCTATATTAATTTTCCTCACCTATCTGCTACCGGTGAGACATAGGAAAAGGAAAGGAAAGGCACTCTCTCTCTTTATCTCTCACCCAACGACCGAAGGGATGTGATAGGGTGAGAGGAGAAAGTGGGAAGAGATTGCGAAGGTAAGGACAGGATGTAATTAGACATATGTTGTCTTCATATCCTGTCCCATCGTTCCCCAGCCCATCTCTTCCTCCCTTCCCTTCCCAAGCCGTTCTATTCCTCACGGCATAGCAGCTTGGCTGCGTGCGGGAGAGAATAGAGGCTGGGAAGAGAGAGATGGCATGCCACAGAAGAAAAGCATGCCGTTCGTCTCTCTCATTGGAGGGTAACTCGGCCAGCTAGGTCCCCCAGTAGTTCCCTTTTACCGTTTCTTTTTTGGGGAGGGTTGCCCTACTAAAATAGACTACGGTACCCTTCTTCTAACCTCATGGAGGACCTAGCGGGGATATGGCCATGGGTCAAAATCCAAATCGTACCCCCAGTGAACATCCGATTCAATCCCCACTATAGGTTCTAAAATGGGTGGTGCACCAAAAACCCCAAAAACGGGATCCCAAAACTGTTTTGACCACGACAGCCATACGGCCATACCCTACTAAAATAGGCTACAGGAAGAAAAAGGCGGTATCCTTCTTCTAACCTCTCTACTGGAGGACCTAACTGGGGATACTGTGGATGGACGAAATCCATTTCGCACCACCTAAGAAACCCTGGTTTCTGATGAATCCCCTAAAAATACCAATAAGCCATGGTTTCAACCATGGTTTCCAAGTGGTGCCTAAGAGGATCGCAACCATCCACAGCATGTTTCTCGATTCAATCGAGCCGAGGTGAGCAAAGGCGTGTTTCTCAGCGAGCCGGAGGTCTGGGGCGGCGAGCAGGGCCGCATCGCCGGGCACAAGATGCTGGTGGAGCCCATGATCCAAGGCGCCGAATTTCTTTGGCGCCAACTAATGGGGACTTGTGGCCAACATTTGGGTGATAGTTTTTGTTTTAGGGGATCAATCAAGTGGTGCTTGTTCTTGTGGGTTCTTTTGGTGATTGTTTTGGTTTTAGGGGATCAATCAAGTGGTGCTTGTTCTTGTGGGTGTCTGTTGAAACCACCACAACTTTGCCGCATCTTGCCAAGGGATGTTAGGACTTTAACTTTTTGCCAACTAATGGGTTTTCCGTATTAAACCGCTAGAAGTTAAACTTTTAGCAGGGAATGAGAATAGAATGACCCCAGGGAAAAGCATCCAACTGGTTTGCCTTAAGGGGACCCCCGGGTTCATGATCCAAGGCGCCGGAGGAAATCGATCTGTTCTTGCGAGAGATGTGTTGGGAATGAGACATGGAATAACCCCGAGAAAACACATCCAACTGGTGGGAACGAGGAATTGGAATGACCCTTATCGAGAGAGGGAATGAGAAATAGAATGACCCCGAGGAGAACCATCCAACTAGTTTGCCTTAAGGGGACCCCCCGTTCATGGTCCAAGGCGCATTCCTACATTCCCCACTGATCGGGATTTTCGTGGTTGGCACGGGTCAAAATGAGTCACCAGCAGGATATGGACCGCAGATTTTGAGTGTTGTTTCCATTTACCAGGGCAAGCCACTTTGGGGTTACCCTACTTTTGACCCGAACCCATGTTAAAATCAGCCTCTGTCCTGTTTGGTGGTAGACAATGGATGGTGATTCCTTGGTTGACCTGGCTGTTTCATATTCTGCCGGGAAAATCCACCTGTGCCTCCGCCTCCTTTTTGTTTCGTGCCCCCCCTGCTTTGCCTGCCTCCTTCGACTTGCTGAAATGAACATGTGTGTTTCCCCTGTTGGTTTTGAGGGGAATCTATCACTACTGCAAACATTGTGGGACTTGCTCAATTTTGCTTGCTTTTGCTTTGTTTGGTTTGTTCTCATAGGTTTGTAATTGACTCAGACCATGGGTTCCCACAGGCTAGGCTTTCCATGGGTTTGAGTCGTGCTACATACCCCATCTCATACCACCTCACTCCTCACATTCCACCTCATGACACTCATTCACCAATTAAAGCAGTAAGCAGTTCATAGTTTTGAAATTGACCCTTGGCCTATCTTTTGTCCGGAGGTTGGATGTTCGGCTGGCTAGTCAGTGGTTAGCCACTTAGTCTAAAACCTGCTATCAACAGGCTTAAGTCCACTCAGCGGAACCTATGAGTGGGTTATGAGCCAGCTTGCCACCAGCTTTCCGGGCTTACCCATGAGGCAGAAGCACTGGTTGCTTGGACCTGGAACACTTTCGGGGGAGCCCCAAATCAATTGGCAAGGTTGGACAAGCAAGGGTGGACATCTATTTTCGCTGTTCCTGCAGTGTTTGATGATATGACCTTTGTTGGGCAAATGTTAAATGTTTGTTTGTTTGATGCCCTTCAGGTCAGCTGGTCAGGTCTTTGTTTGCGAGGAAGCAACGATTTCGGCCAACATACCAGGTGTTGGGAAGCCGGCAAGCAATGAATGGCTCATTGACTCCTTTTATGGGGGATATGCCAAACCTCTGCCAAAAAAGGGCTACAGGGAGGGAGGGTTATCACCTACTCTTGGCCTTTGGCTGCTATTGGGTTGAGTTCCGTGTGTTGCACCGCGAACAAGTCAAAGTTTTTGCGCAAAGTCCAAGTGTTTGTGAGGGGGACCCAATATTACACCCACGCATACGGTACGGCCTTTGCTTATCCCAGTCTCACCCAAGGACAGGGCCACCCTTTCAGGACATGGCCATACGCGTTCCCCGAAACACCGTGAAGTGGGGTGGATGTTTTAGGAGGAAGCGTAAAGGACCCGTAGCACCGGACCTTAAACCTGCACATCCTTGGACTGGGCCATCCGGGACATGTGGCGGGCGCACGTCTCGCTTCTCTTCGCCTGTTCGCGTCGTGCTACTCGTCGCGTGCGTCGAGAGGCGAGTACATGAAGTTCAACAGCAACACGGGACACGCGGAGCCGGATTCGGCCACCATGCAGGCCTTGAGCCACTTCTCCTACCACGCCTCGCGCCTCGACATGCCGAGAAAAAAAAAAAAAACCGGGGGCCCTTGGTCGAACGCATGGCCGAAGTATTACGCCCGACGGGGAAAAGGGGGAAGGGACTCGGTGACCAGAAAATGTGGCACATGACTCGGCTGCTTTTGGGTTCGATCTTTTCCCTTGAACTGGTTGGAGAATTTTTGTGTTTCCCCACCAACCGGCAAAATGGGTGGGTTTTTCATGCGGATTCTCACACAGGTGAGGTGTGGTCAACATGTCGTCCTGCTTCGTCGATGGTTCATTTGCAAAGGACATGGGGGGGCTGAGGTCTAACCAGTGGAGCAAGCCTCAAGTCAGAAGCGGCCTGGGAATCTGTTTGGTTTCCAAAGAATCCGTCCCCTCTAAGAGCTGAAAGCTTGGGGTCTCTGCCCAGATAGGCTCCGGAGGTTTTCTGGGCTCCTGTCCCGAAAGTTTCCGGGGATCGCTGTTGTCTTTGAGCAGAGATTTGGTGAACATGTCCAGTCACGTCCAGTCTGATTTCGGGTTTCGAATTCTGGAATTTGCTGGAAGAAGATTAGTTGCTGTGAAACAATCAATTGTATTTAAAATATTGACGGCCCCTTACATGGTTGAAGTTGCGAAACATTGTACATGTTTGCTTATTGTGGTGTAGTGGGAAATCCCTACTTACCCGCTTAAAAAAAAGGAAACAATTGCTCCCCTTCCAACGTCAACCAAGCTTATACTAAAGGCACAAGTGGTCGATTGTTTTGGTTTTGCAAGCTAAGGAACGGCAGGTACTTGCTCTGCGACCTTCAAGGCGGGCGCTACAATGGCCGGAGCCTTAGTTGGAGCCCTTCGAATTACGCTTGGTTCGGAGGCAGATCACTCCAGGAATCGACCTATGTGTCCACACAAATGTTGACCCAGACCTTTACAAGGGATCCCTCGTTTCCGGTTTGTGAATTGTACCCTATAGGGACACCATGGACCCTTACAGAGGCTTACCCCCAAGACCTCAGGCTTCGGGTTTTTCCGGGGAGAAGCTGAACCCAAGAAGGACCCCTCAAAGCGCGAGATTCGTTTTGGCGCCACCAGGTGTCTGTGATCCTGGCCAGCTGGAAACACGCTCGTGGGATTCGGTGCAAAAAAATCAACCAATCGAATGGAGCCCAGGTTGGGCTTTTTTTTTCGGGTTCTCGGACGCGACTTTGGGCCTGAAACCCGAGCGTTTTTTTGAAACTGGAGAAGCCCTCAGAAAAGGCCATGCTGAGAACCCCAAAAGAGCGGCCTTGGTTGTAAGTAAGGCAACTCTGCTCTTTGTGCCTGCAAACAGGTGACAACCTGAAGAAGGAAAACGGACCCTGAGCTGAGGATACTACATCCTAACCGACCCGGTGATTCACAGCAAGTCCAAGGCCCGTGTTTCGAGCGTTCGTGCGCCCGTTTGAAAACGGCATAGTTCTTGGAGACCCTAGTTCCGTCTTGTGCCGCCTTGAATAGTGGGCCCCCCCAAAAGGGTCGGACACTTGTCAATCTCGGGCATGAGCTGTTGTTTGAGGCCCGGTGGTTCATCGGCGTATTCAACAGACCACGCGTTGCTTTCTTTCTCCAGAGAAGCACCTTAGTCACCCGCGAGAAGTAAAAGCGCAGGCTACTTCCTGCACACGTCGCCAAAGAGGTTAGCATCTCCTCACTTCTGGCATGGATTGTAAAACTTTGTTTGAAGACCATTTTAGTTGAAAAGAAAAGTTTGCTTACTTTTTTTGGCCATGCACTCAGGAAGTGAGCCTCAACGTGATCTTGATTACTTAGGTGTTCTCACCTCGGTTCCCAGCACAGTTCCGTCTTTCAACTGTGGGTGAAAACTGTTTTGGGATCCCATCTTGGGGTTTTCGGTGCACCCATTGTAGAACCTATTTTACTGGTTGGAATTGAATCGGATGTTCACTGTACGATTTGGATTTTGACCCATGGCCAACTGGCAGGGATACAGGAAACAACCAGGGACACGGGAGGATTCACCCGATTCATGCACCTTGACGAAGTTTGAGATGGGAAATGGCGCCATTGGAAGGGGGCGGCCGGACAAAAAGTTCAAAGTACTGACGCGTCCTGACGCGTCCTGCGGCTTCCCTTTGGCCCAGCAAGCTTCGCCCGGTTTGGGCAAGATCCGCGGCTCGTCCTTGAAGGGTGGGAAGTTAAGCGGGTGCACACAGGGTGAAAGTAAATGTTAGGTATGCAATATATATATAGTATAGTTATACATATATATATATATATATACATGCGTATACATACAGACATACATTCATTTAATTGGTGATTGATCTACTCATTTGTTGGTTTTAATATATTTGCTTCATGAGCTATTCATTCAGTGATTCGTTCGTAGATGGCGCAGTTCCCCTTGTGTCGGGAAGCAAATGATCAAACCGGTGGGACTTGTGCCATCCACTTTTACACAACTAGGTCCCCCAGTAGTGCCCTTCTCTCCCCTTTTCTGGGGGGGCGGGGTCTCCCCTACTAAAATAGACTACAGAAAAAATCCTTATGCTATCCTCTCTACTCTCTACCGCTATTGGGTTCGATCTTTAGACTTTAACTTTTTGGATTCCCCTCATATTTCCTTTTAACCAGCAAAATGTTAAGCTTTTTGCTGGGGGATCTACAGCACCCAATGGAGGACCTAGACAACTGTGGTAACCTCTCTGGTCACCTGCCGCGTGGCTGACTTGCAGCTTCTCCAGTCGGTCAAAATCCAAAATTCCGTAAGCCCCCAGTGAACCCCACTAAAATAGGTTCTAAAATGGGTGGTGCACCGAAAACCCCTGCAAGAACCAGGGACCCCTTCAAAGGGCATGGGTCAAAAGCCCATACCCCCAGAGAACCTCCGATTCAATCCAACCGCTATAGGTTCTAAAGTGGGTGAATGCACGAAAACCCCAAAATGGGATACCATTGGTTTTGACCCACAGCCACATGACCAGTTAACACAGTGTTTGCTGTTTTGCGTTTAGCAGGGTTTCTGCGAACCTCTAGAAGATGGTCAAGCCGCCAAACCACAAAGCTGTTGTGGTTTCCTTAGCCTTGCTTTCCCTTGACTTAGGGGCCACATTTCTACCCTTGTGATCTTTCGAGTACTAAATCTTCCTGAATATCCCTAGCACATGGGAACCCTGAAATTCCCACGGACCCTGCAAAAACAAGGCTTTTGACCGCTCAGATGATAGGTTTTGAGCCCTGGAATCGCTCTCAAATCTGGTGGCGCCTTGGGCGGGGGGGGGGGCTAACAACAACCCAGGGTTCCCATAACGGGAGGGTGGTGTTAACAGATGATTTAGTACGTGAATTATAATATTTCACCAACCTCCCATAGGGTGGTTGGGGGGGCTATTCCGCACATAAGCCACCATGTGGGGTGAGGTCGTGTGAGGTCGTTACAATTCACTAAGATTATCGGGTGTTCGCCAACTTTCAGCTGTCATGTCTTCTAATTCTGGAAGTCTACTGTCTCAAAGGGTAGAACAAACATATAAAAACATGCAAGGTCCTTTTCTCATACATCCATGTCCTACCCCTAGGAGCCCAACACCTCAAAGCTTGAGGTCGTTGTGTGTCAAATGTCCTTAGACCTAGGGTCCGACTTTTTTTTTTCTCGGGGGGGGGGCTGGATATAACCGTTGTAACCCACTTAACGGGCTTCGAACCATGGTTCCTTGCCGTTTTTAGTGGGGAGCCCACCAACCAGACAAGGGCTTAGAGGGATTGGGACTGCGCAAACTTTGTGACAGGAGTTCGGCGGAACTGACCTTGGAGCAGAGGGCATCGAGAACTTCATGGCCCACCACGTGTGCGGCGCCTTCGACCCAACTCCCGGGAACCTTCCAGGATAAAAAAATACGCAAACTCATCACAACTTGACTCGCTGATTGCCTGTAGATCCCTATATTGGCCCTATATATCAGTTGGCTTTCTGGGGTTGAATCGCTCGGTCGCGGGGAGGTGTTTTTTCCATCGTATTACAAAAAGAAGAAAAAAAAAAGGAAAAAAAAAAAAAAAAAAAAAAACGCTTTCGAGGTGAACGGCGCATTGTTTGCCGATGAGACCACCGGTGCCCCAAAACCTTTTCGATTCCGGGAACCTTCCAGGATAAAAAAATACGCAAACTCATCACAACTTGACTCGCTGATTGCCTGTAGATCCCTATATTGGCCCTATATATCAGTTGGCTTTCTGGGGTTGAATCGCTCGGTCGCGGGGAGGTGTTTTTTCCATCGTATTACAAAAAGAAGAAAAAAAAAAGGAAAAAAAAAAAAAAAAAAAAAAACGCTTTCGAGGTGAACGGCGCATTGTTTGCCGATGAGACCTCCGGTGCCGCAAATCCTTTTCGATTCTCAAAGGTGGGGCCCCGGGTGGCATTTCCTTCGAGTCTTCTTCGGAGGTAAATCGCAAGCAGACAAAGGGTATGTGTCAACGTAGCGGGTATTCCCCCCCAACAAAACAGTGGGCTTTCCTCTAAACCAAGGTGAAACGGGTACCTCAAAAGCAAACAAACAAGACAAATGAGCTCAAATGATTCCCTATTCCCTTGCTGCGGACATTGGTTGTTGCAGTCATCGGCAATAGTGCGCAACGAATTGGCTGATTTCCCCTTTGCGTTGCTGGACAAATATCCCCAACAGGGTACCCTGCCAAAAACAGAAATCACTTTTCATCTTGAAGGGTCCCTTTTTCAGGTTCCATATTTCTTTTGGGAAGGGTAATGTTGGCTCTGCTTTAGAAACAGTGCCAACAGTTCAGCGCGGCCTCGTTCGTGGAAAATGGGGAGGTCTGGTCTGGGTTCGACTTCGACTTGCCAATAATTCATTTAGTATTGCCATTTCTAAGTTTAGCCACTTTCTCTCAGATTCCCAGTACTTAATGTACGTATTGCCAAGGCTAAATTTAGAATTGCCCAGACGTACTCTCAGATTTCCAGTGCTTAATTTAGTATTGCCAAGATTTTCTCTAGGATTCCCAGTACTTGGCTTAGTATTGCCAAGTCTAAATTCATTTTGCCAAGACTTACTTTGAGATTCCCCAGCACTCATGGCAGCATTGTCAAGTCTAAATTAGTATTGCCAAGGCTTTGACTTTTGAGTTGGGAAGAGCTTAGGATGAACTAGTAAAAGGCTACGGTCTTTATCTGGGAATTTCCCCAACCCCCCAAAAAAAGCTGGACATTGAGGCAGATAACTAGCTTCTGGGCCTTTTGTGGGGTACCTCCTTTGCATCACTGGTTGGCCTTGGTTTTGTAGAGGACATTGTTTGTATCGTTTAAACAAAACAACTCGATGGTTTGGAGACCACTTCAAAAACAGGATTTCCGATTTGTTGCCCGGAGTTTTGCCCAGGATTGCTTCCCCGTTTTGTTTGGCCCGTTGTGTTGCCGCTTTTTCTTCGGCAAGACTAGTTGTGTATTTAAAGCAAGCATCAAAACAGTCACAGGATTCTGAATTATAGGCAAACAACTTTGTACAACAGCAACCGCAATTACAACAACGGGTCCGACAGTACCCCGAGACACACTCAAAACCCGGATTGTGAAAGCAAGTGAAGCACAGTCTGACCCACAAATAGGCACTGCCTCCCTTTCGATTCAGTACATGGTTTTTGCTAAATTGCTTTCGTACCAGATTTGATTGTGACTCTCAAAAGTCAAGCACCTGTTTCTCACCCCAGAGTTTCATGGAATTCAGTCATTTGTCAACTTGGACGTCTTTAGTGGCAAGGGACAGTTTTGACCTTTGGGCCAATCCTCTCGGGATGGATGGGCAAGCCCTTCACACCTGTTTAAGCCCTTCCGACTCATAGGTCGCTTCTGCAGCCCCAACTGGAAGATGCCGCCGGCCGCAAGCTGAGCATCCGACAGCAGAACCGGCCGCACCCAAACCGCCACCGTCACCATCCGTCACCCACATTTGTGCCTTCGTTGGATAGTTGTAATGGGAAACCACAAGGGGTTCCCCTATTCCGAGACAAAGATAGTTGGGTATGTGTCAACATAGGGGAGCCGGGCCCCAATAGTTGCTTTCGTTGTGGTTTCCCTGTAAGCCAGCCGGAAAAGGGTACCCGAACATAACGAGCCCAGGTTTCCCAAAAACCCACGGATGTGAGTGTGAGTCATGTGTGGGTCATGGTCATGGTTCTGCAGATGGGTCATGTTCTTTCTTTATTTCAGAGGGGGGTCTCTATATATATATATATATTAGCATCACGTACCCCAGGTGCACTTGTTTACCCACGGAGACTGGAGGTTTGGAAGGAACCATTACATCGGTTGTCTAATACTAAGTTTCCTTCTTCGGCTGTGCATGGCCATCCAACCAGGTTGTATTAGGCTTCACGGGGGAATTCCAATTTACGCTTCCATTTGGGCAAATTACAACGATTTTGTGGTTTGTGCTGCGTGGCCTGGTTCTGCAAGGAAGCGAATGGTGCAGCACGCAGGAAGGGCGTATCTTTGCCCTTCGCAGTAGTGGTTGTGATTTGCTTGCATTTTGGCATCCATCAGCACGCGGAGGTTTGATGCAAGATGGAGTTGCCACAACCGGGGATCCTCCCGTGTGAAGGGCGGAACACCATGTCTGTCTGGGAAGCTAGCATTCATCAAATTCCCCCCAGAACTGCCGCGGTTGGGGGGGTTGCTATTTTGCGTTGTTGCCCACGGAGTCTTGAGAGCTTCAGGATTGGGTGATGGTCTCACTCGTGGAACTCGTAGGTATAACCGGCTCACCAACTCGGCAAGCTACTTTGCGGCCTAGATGTCCAGTCATTTTCTTTCACCACACCAAGGTTGCTAATATTGGCACTAAGCGACACCTTCGTCAGAGGGAGCCCTAAAGAAGTTGCAAGCAAGGCGGTCCTTCAACCTTTCTAAAAAAATCAACCAACAAGGGGGACCTTAAAAAAGGAGAGACCCAAATGTGGAAAATCCCAAAGATTCTACTGCTCGCTCGGGATCCGCCAAAATCAAAGCAGTGTTGCAGCCTAAATAAGAGGGCATGTGTCCACTCCCAAAGACTTCGAACAACCTCACGTCTTGGTTCAGGGCAAAACGATACATCCGCCCCACAAGAACCCACCAACAAGAACAGGCACCAAAAGATCCCGGCCAGGGTCTTCTCCGGAACTGTTGTACACTTTAGGGAAGACACCATATGAAGCAGAATCAGGAACAGAGTCTGAAATCCGAAGCATCATCTGAAACAAAGTCCAGAACAGAACCTGAACACGTATGAAAACATAATCTGTCAGTGTTGAAACAGAATCCAAAACAGACTATGAAGCACATCCCCCTTTTTGAGTGGTTGCAAGGGCCTTTTCAGGCATCGCTCAGTCGCTCCCGCTTGGGTTTGATCGAGGCGCAGAAGCTGATCCCCCACTTCCAGGAACCCGGAATCGGGAGCCGAAACGGGGCGAAGCTGGAGCTGGCACTTCGGGTGGGTCGAGTCGGATCCTTTTCGAGTGTTCGTTGAAGCCACAAAAATGGGTCTCTTAAAAGACGAGTGTTGGTTGAAACCACAAAAATGGGTCTCTTAAACGAGAGACACCCAATTGAATCTCTTGAGGCAACCCTTTTTAGCTTAAGGTCTAAGAGCAAGCCAACAGGAAAGCAAAAGGAAACCAAAGGTTGCCCGGGGCTTTGCCTTCAACAAGCACGCGCCTTTAACCATTTCCAGACCTTAGCAAAGCCTTGGAACAACTGCTTGTCCTTTTTGTGCCTTGATTTTGGTCCTTTCAGCTAGCAACTTTCGGCAGGTCGTCTGTTTCTGGCCCTGAAACATTGAACCAGGAGGCTAGGTTTGAGCCGCCCAAAACCACCCATCCAAGCCACCAATTCGCCCATCGAAGCAGCAAGTTGAGGGACATCCAAAGTAGGTGAGTGCTCCTTGCTTTTTGCGCCCTTGAAGCAACCCGAATTGGGGCACCCTGAACAAAACACGCACACACACAAAACAAACAAGTGAATTCGGGATCCATAAGGGGGGACAAAAGGAACAGGAAGCCAAACAAACACCCACAGGGTGAACTCACGAACGCGACAGCCGCAGTAGGGAGCCCCAAGACTGGTGGTGATTCCTTCCCTTCAAACCGCACCCTTGGATGTTTGTATCCCTCAGAACTCTGTTGGGTTGGATCTTTAGACTTTAACTTTTTAGGAAATGAAGGGGTTTCCCACTAAACCCACCACCCAGTTATTCATTTTTTGCAGAGGGGTCAACAGCAGCAACAAAGTTCGAGGTGCTCGGCGCACCGCGCCAGGCGGTGTGTGGCACCACCTTCGGCGAGGCGGAGCAGCTCTTTAGCGCGCAGAGCCGAAAGCAACTCGAGATCCAGGCGCGGGTGGTTTTTGAAGCGCCATGTTGAAAGCGGCGCCATGGGAAGCCAAAGGAAAACCCATCGTGGCTCGTGTTTGTTTTCTGGAGTTGGTACTCTAATTGTTTTCCCTCTGAAAGGGACACTTAAAAGGAAGCCGCCCATTTTATACATATATATATATATATATTTTTTTGGGGGAGGTTCTGACAAAAGCCACACCCGCATCGAGTAGCCCTGTTTTGACACATGGGTTAACTGGCGAAAAAGAAAAATCAACGAAGAACCTGCCCCCCCCCCCCCGCGCCCCCACAACCCAAGAAGGGGCTGTAACCGTTTCGGGCGTTTTGATATTCAACATTGACAACCCAAAACTAAGACGGCGTCACGTTCCATGGGGGCGTGCGACCGCCTGTGAAGATTTATTTGTTTCACAGAGGTCCTTTTTTTTGGTTGAATTGTTGTACTGATTCAGTGTGTGACAGTTTTGGCTGATGGATTTGCTGAGCAAATCGGGACCCAACACCAGAAGTGAGTTGAGTGTTTTTTTGGGGGGGGCAACGAATTTAAAGTTTGGGCCTTTGGATATCGGATAGACTTCAAGGGTTCCCTTGTAGGGTGTGTGTGTGTGTGTGTTGACGCTTGTGTGTCTCTGTGTGTCTGTGTGTGTGTGTGTGTGTCAAAATTTACTATCATCCAACTACCATGAGGAATTTGGGTTAACCAGAAGGACAACAACGATTTCAGGTTAAGTGTTTTGGCGTGTTAAGGGTTGGTTGAAATCAGAGTCGGACGTCTTTGTGCGGGCCCGGAGCCCTGCTCGAAAGGCCAACGAAGTTTTGGAAAACCAAACAGGGAGGTCCGCATCCCAAGTCATGACCCCTCCAATGCAGACCGGGACCCGGACCCTCCAATGGAGAACCCCGACCAATTCCTCAAGGGCCCTCAACAACAACCCAGGAGGGCCCAAAAACGGTCGAATCGGACCCGTAGGGCTGGTCACTTAAGTGCCAACCCGAAGATTTGCATTTTGCGCTTCCTTTCTGGTTCACGGTGTCCCCTTTTCGGGCGTAAGTTTGGAGCTAAGTATGGCCCACGGGTTTTCAGGAATGCCGACTAAAGAGCTTGTCCCTTTGGCTTCAACAAAGCATCCCGTGAAATGTGTTGGGGTGTGTTTTGAGCGGTGTTTGGGTTTTCGTTTTGGGGCTGGCGGGGATACAAGGGAGCCACACCGTTTAATTGGTTTTGCCCCAAAGGTGGTCTTGTAACGAAATCAGGAACCCATTTCCAGTGCTTTGGTTTGGTTGTTCAAGAACCGAATACGAACCTCTGGGCTCTTGGACATCTTGCAGCCAGAATCAGAATCCCATCCTAACCAATCCAATCCCATGTCCAGGTCTCTGGAGCTGAAACTAAAGTAGTCGACCCTTTTATCAGAACGGAGATGGTCAGGGCAGTCCAGCTAGGTGAAGAAGGAGCTGCGGATTTCTATCCGGAAGGTCTGGGAAAACGCGCTGCCTGTGAACCAGACACTCGGGTGAACCGAATGGAGCCAATCAGTTTTTTTCAGCCCTTGGCCTTTCTTCAAAAGAGGATAAGCGGCTTGCCCTCTTTCCAAGGTGGAAGTGGATGTTTAATCTTTTGGGGCTTCCCCAAAGTGGGCTTCCAAACCCTCCTGTCAGCTTCCCTTGTTGGAGGGGTGTCCCCGCCGGGTCTTTGGGTGCGGATGGACAACAGCCACGCGGATCGGCACTGATTGGCGGTCATGAAGCAGCGAACATGACGTGGGGTTTTAGGTCCCAGGTTGCGGGCACGGTGGGGATTTGTTTCTTTATGAAGGTGCTTTACTTGGAGATCCCTTATTTCCTGTTCTGGAATTCTACAGTTTGCAGACATTTGCAGACCCATCAAAAAATCGATTGGCGCATTTTTGGTGCCAGTGCCATGTTCTTTTCGCGCTTGGCAGACGCCGGTCTGCTCTAAGCTGCACATTTGAACCTCCGCCCACACATGAGCATGTTGGCGCACGTGGAGCCCTCGCTCAAAGATAAGCTAGAGCCCTGCGAGAGACGAGAAGGCACACCTGCGACGCGTCATGTGGTTTGTCCAGTGTCCCAAAGGCCGAAGAAGCACTCACTCAGTTGCTATGTGCCTTTTGGGCATGCCCACAGTGAGGTGTATTTCTGTCGCTCGGGCATGTCTTCAAAAACAGGAAGCTTTAGGCAGTGGAGCTCCCGCAGTCGAGGAAGATGAGCTGAAGCTCCGTTGGGGAGTTCTTGCTGGTTGATAAATATGGAACGAGCGAGTGAAGATCCCATCTTATTTTGCCCTGTCCCGTTTGATTCCTCTACTTCCCAGCAGTGCCTAGCTTTCTGCTTTTGAAGGGACAGCGAGCAAAAGCTTCTGGAGCCAGGCGAAGGTTTCATGCAAACCAATCCCCGTCCCAAGTCTTCGCCGTGCGAAAGAATTCCAGGTCGCAAGTCAGGGTCTTGAGTTAAAGTGGATGGTGAGGAGCCAGCGGTGAAAAATGAAATGGCAGAGTTGCTCCATTTTGGTTTGGCAATCCCCTGTTACCCGCATAAACAAAATTGCGCATTCTATCTACTTTCACCCTGGAGGGCAGGGGGCATAGCCGGGCATAGCAGGATTTCCTCCTTTTTTTCCGCCAATCGCGCTCAGGATTGTCATCCACAAGTCCAAGAAGGTGGAGACAAAAGGTTGAGCTGCGGGGATCGGAAGGTTGAGCTGGCAAGGGATCACTTCTTGCATGGAGCCTGAGGAAACCTGAGGTGAAATTGGGGTGGCCAAAGCTGTTGTCAATAAATGTGAGTGTTCCACATGCAGAGGTTGTGCTGTTTTGGACACGGCAAAGAAACCCAAGAGCCGCTCGCCGCTCAGATCCGAGCCAGAGTGACACACCGAGGTGTGTGTGTGTGCGTGTGTGGCAGGCTTGGGCCTTGGCTTACATCAGATTTGACGCTTAGGGCAGCCGGGCGTTGTCCAAGTTGTATGGAAGGCAACCATCTGCGGCCCGAATCCATGCCGGGCAGTGAGGATTGGTAGGGCTTCATTCATCCCAAGTGAGGAGTTGATATAAAAAATACAGCACCAGGATATGGACCGCAGGTTTTAGTCCTTGGTTCCATGTACCAGGGTTCCAATTTGTGTACCTATTTTTGACCCACTGCCATATCATGACTGCCTTGAATCGCCCAAGCCTGGTGTTTCCTTCAGCGAATCTGGGTAGCGCTGGCCGGTACGCGGGGCATTCGTACTGGAGAGAGGAAAAAAGCGGGTTTCGGTCTGGCACGGAACGCGTTTAATACAGGTTGTTGAAATTCCTGTGTTCGCAAACTTTGTCCTGTTTGATTTGAGAAGATCCTTTCAGTGGCAAACAGCAGCTTGATGTCCTAAATACTAAGCATGACTTTTGTTTTCCCGCTGGTTTAAATTCAACCGGTCGTTACTGAATGGTGTGTGTTTCTCGAGGGCATCTGTTTGTTTGGCAAAAGCATTTCACCCACACGAGGCGGAGGGGAGGGGTGCAATTTGGAGACAACCCTACGTGTTTCGAATGGCACTGGACACGCGAGTGGAAGCTGGTCCCAATATTGGACGCAAGGCAAATCGGCGGATGAGGCCAGAATTGTGTGGAAATACTGTGCATGGACAAAATCCTGCACCACTTTGATACCATGGGAGACCATTATTTGCTGGTATTTGCAGGGGGATGATCATTCCAGGGTCTCTTGGGTGGTGCAGGATTTCATCCATCCACAGTATCATGCAGATCTGTTGAAAGTTTAGGGACCTCTAGGACCCAAAGGCCAGTTGACCGAATCCCCAAACCTACTCGGGAAGGCCATCTTAATGGTACCCTCTTTCCAATGACGGCGGCGGACGAGGCCCCTCTTCCAAAGGAAAGTAGTCTTCCAAAACCCTCCTGTAAGCTTCCATATTTGCTGGTGGCTCCCAACCATTCCCAATTAGCTTTTTTGCATTTTAGGGTTAGTGGTAGTCTCCGTTTGGCCCACGAAAAGTTAAACTTTCAGCAGGGGATCTGAGGGCAACCGAGATTTGTTGGTGGGGTAAGCCCAACAAATCCCTCTCTTGGGCCAAATCCACAGGGAAGCGAGCTGTACCTTGGGCCAAAAGTTTGAAAAGTAACCCTCCCTCCAACTAACATGGCAACTGACAGTCCCTTCAAAAGGAAATTAATTAATCTTCCAGGTACCTCCCCGGTGCCATGTTACTTGGAGGAAGGGCATCCCGTCCAGCAAAACCCTGGGCTCGCTGGGGCCCAAAGAGTTCAATTCCAGGGCACCAACCGCCTGGTGGAGTGCTCCACCTATGAGGCGCCGAAAAACACCGCGCTGGAGGGGAGGGGTGTTCTGGACCCATGGTCAGGGGATTCCATGTTAAAGATGTGTAAACAACCTTGGGGCTGTCCTGATGTGTTTCACAGAAGCTGAATCAAACTTGGGCGTGTGTGTTGTGTAAAGGAGATTTTCTGGTTTTCCTTGTTTGGCTTCCCTTTAAAGCATCCAAGAAGGGCACCAATTCAAACAACAAATTTAAACATGAGACATATTATCATATGCTACGTGTTGAAACCAACCCTCGGGGCGCACCCTCAGTCCTTGAACGGACTTTCACATTGATTTGGAGGGGCTGGTTGTTTCAAGAAATGGGCTGGTGTCTTTCGGAGTCGGTGACTCTTTATTTCAAGAAAGCCGAATGGACAAGCACAGCTATTGAGCACTCGGTTTAGCTGTTTAGAGTTTAGAGTTGGATTAGTGTTGCATACCACACCATAAAGGTGAACAACTTTTGTCAGGGGATCAACCAGCCAAGGCGAGAGGTACCCGGCCAAATCACCATGACCCGCCTGAAAGGCAGGTTGGGCTTCTTGATTCCCAGAAGTTCCAACGTGTACAATTGTTGTTTTTTGTTGTTGATTTTATTAAACGTGTGAAGAGTCAGTTTGCAGGTTGCCACTTTCTGTGATACCCTGGAAAAGAACCCCGTTTGAAGTGGCATTCAGCAAATTCAGCGGCTTGATGGGAGCCCAACCAGGTGTACAGCCTGAGATGTCATTTGTAGGATTGGTTGCACAGAGGGTGTCCCCCTCTGCCATGGACACGTGTGAATTTCGCACAAAGGCTGGTTCCCTACAACCATGTGTGCGTGTCTTTTCAGGGGACTCAGAAATGGAGGTGTTCCTCTTTTTTCCGTTTGAACCACCAAAAACATGGGGTACCCTCAAAACCCGACACATCCATGTATCAAGCGCAAGACAGCAGATCGCTGGCGGCTTGGTGCTGTTTGACTGTCTGTGTTTGTTGCGGCGTTGCACCTCGTTCAGGCTGTTTGTATAAGGCAATTTGCTCCGAGCTCACCCATGACGAAGGCATTTCTGGAGAATCCGCTTTTCCGCGTTGTAAACTGTGGCAGTTTGAAAATAATCATACTATGGATGGACAAAATCCTGCACCGCTTTGAAACCATGGGAAACCACTGTTTGTTGGTATTTGCAGGTGAATCATCATTGCAGGGTTTCTTAGGTGGTGCAGGATTTAGTCCATCCACAGTAGGTTTCGGATCTATTTCCGACAACTTAGTGGCTATTCACCTGGGTTATGACTCACGTCCTACCTTCACCTGGAACCCGAGTGACCTCACCGCCTGATTTTTTGCGAGGAAACTGGCTGGGGCTCCTTTTGGGAACCTCTAAAGAACCAATGGCCGTGGCTCAAAAAACCGGTACCAAAGTGGAACCCTGGTAAGTGGAAACATGGACCAAGCAACCCCTCCTGTTTAGTTTTGAGCCACACCCACTGGGTTTGAAACCTTTCCCTTTTCTCAAGCCCAGCCCGGTTCCGAAGGTCTCAGGTTTCCAGGTTTTTTTGTTTGTTTCTGATAGGAAGCCACTGAACCGTGCCAACAGTTTTCGACCTAAACCGTTCCTCAGTTTGTTTGTTTTTTTGAGGCTTTTAGTTATACCACTAAAAATCACCACTTTGGCAGGGGATCCGGGAAAACAGCGGTTAGTTTCATGTTGAAGGATTTTCGCATGGGTCGCTTTTATTGCCAGGGCGCTCGTGTGGAATGCATGCGAGTGGGGGTGTACCGTGCCGACATCAAGGCGAGGGGCTGCCTTTGGCGGTTTCAGATGGCTGAGCCAAGAACCGACGTTTGGATCTGGCTGGGAATGCCCTCCCGTCAATTGACATGGAACCTGACTATGTAGTTCAAACCAGGATCCCAACATGTCAGGTTTTATGTTAATTGGTAGGAGGGTAATCTAAACCATATGTTTTATTTTCCCCTGTTGCTTTTGAAGAGGACGTGTCACTACTGGAAAAATATTTTCTTTGTTTCCAGGGGACTTTAGCAAATGGAGGGGAATATTAATTATGGCTGATCCGGACGACCCTGCTCAGGGGAAACAGGAAACCACCCCTGACAAGTATGGTGTTCTCGACTATTGCGAAGCTAACCTAACTAAACTAAAGGCCGCGGGTGAGAAAATAACATCACGAAACGGGGTTTGGCTCGAAGCACCAAGGATGTGAATGTGTGGGTCATGCGTGTCGCAAGTTGAATTGGGTGTCTGGCTGAGTCGCATTGTGCGGGGATTTTCCTTTCCACTTTTGGGGACAAGCAGCCTTGAGGACCAATTCTTCACGGGAGAGTAACGGTGCAGCAATCATCACGGGACAAGAACCTCTCATTCGCACCCGGCTGAACCGTGGATTCCTCTTGTTTTCCTGTTTGGTGTGGTTTACTCTTTACTTTTGGGGTCAACATCCGAGTTTCCGATATGACATTGGCCAGAGGCCTGAATGTCGAGGGTCTGGTAGCTTCCAGGGATGTGCTCGAGGGTGGAAGGGGTCATTTGGTTCACAAGGTACCAAGGGACCCTTAGGGCCATCCAAGCAGCTTGAAGCCTTTGGCATGGTAGCAGCCTGGGTCCTGTCTGGAAAATCTTGTGCCGATTGGCCATTCCGCAGTGACCGCAGGGGTAGAACATGGGTAACCTGCGTCCTTTGGTGTTGCACTGGGGACGCATTTTCCAGCATTGTGACAAGGTCTTGAGCAACCGTGACGAATGTCAGGGCTCTGAAATGCGATGAATTCTCGTAGCTTACAAACATGCCCTGGCGCTTGTTGGGGGCGTGGGCCACTCACATGTGGGTGACTCATTGAGAGCTTTCAGAAAATGCGCTGTGCGTGCATCAGAGAGTCAGCTCAGGCCTAGCCAACTCCAGACCCATGTGAAAAAAATGTTTCAACATCCTCTGGGCTTCCCTTAAGGGGTCGATGGCCTCGGCTAAACCAATTCTCCCCAATGGGCAAAATGCTTGAATCAGCCACCAACTGGAAGGTAGGCCGAACGGAGAGTTGTTTACGCATGTTTAAACTACAGTTCCTGTGACAGGTGACAGGTGTTTCTAGGATTCCCCTTTTCAGCCCGTTTAAACATCACCTTGACCATGTGCAGATGACTTTCCTCTTGGCTTGGCTAGTCTTCGATGTGATCGAATCGCCCCTTCAACCTTTCAGACGCAAATTGTTTTCCCATTGGGAGACGAGCAACCCGAACTTACTTCCTGAGTCCTGGACTTTGCACTTTTCGGGAACGCCAGTTTACTGGCGTTAACACACACTTCGGGCTTCTGGGCAATCCAATTGGACGGGCTGGACCGGACGTGAGCCCGGGAGCCACCAGATGCGAGGAGACCTTCCAGATCGAACCCTCCGCCGTCCAAACGCTTCTCGAGGACCTCAAAGCCACAGCCTGGGGCTCGGCCGATTCGATTCGATGCCCACGGTGCCATGGGAGACTTAGCCCCTTTGAGAACCTGTGTGGCCTGTGTCATGTTCCTTCATTTGGATGTTTCCCAGCCAGAAAGAAGCTGACCCAGGTTTCTTCGCAGAGAGCGCCCTTGGGCTGAGAGTTGGTGTAAACACATTGGCGGGACTAAGAGTCAATGAGTTTTGGGCACTCAGATCAGAGGTCTTCTCGAAGAACATGTGTTATTTTTCACTAGACGATGGAACAGAGTCAGAAAATACGACCTCCATATTTCTTTTTAGTGGGCCAAGAAGCTCATGATTCCCGAGGCTAGGCCAGAAATTTGGTTTTAGAGGAACAGAGATGTTGCCATTGCAGAGATGCCCAAAGCAGAAGGGTTCGTCTGAGGTGGCCAAGAGGCCATCACCCCCAATCCTAGGTGGGGGATTCCAAAATGTTTGTTTCTTGGGATGCCACCTGCCACCTGCCACCTACTTTGGGGAAAGCGGTCTGAAAACTACTACAGCCCTAATACATATCGGGAACCAAAAAGGGTGCGCAATCTCATATTTATCAGAATAATTCCAGGCAAACACCCTAGTACCCACATGGTTGATCCCGTAGTCGCTAGGACAGCAAGCAAGCTTGAGGCACACAGCACTTCGCGAGACTGAGTGGAGTTCAAAGCAAGCTAACTCTAATAGATCCCGCACATGGGTTATTTGGCAAGAATGTTAGTTGCACGCAACCAGTTTAGACTCAAGCCAAACGACTCAGGCCGTGAGAAAAAAACGAGGGAGCACTGGACAAACAGACACGGCAGCAGGTGGATTTCTTCCTCTTGGAGGAAGAGAAGGCGGGGGTAAGGGTGACAATGATTGCAACAAATGCAGACTCAAGGACATGGGGGGGGGAGATGGTGTCCCCGAAAAGTGTTCCGAATCCCTTGGTCAACCTGGAAGGTGTCCCCACTAAGCTCGAAAGGGGGCTCCTTTGACATCAATCCCCTTTTGTTTAAAAAGTAAAAACAAATGCCCTTCCAAGAGTGCCGTTTGAGAGTATGTGTGTGTGTGTGTGGGTGCGTGTGTTTGCTATTTGTGCTTTTGCGGTCTATTGGGGGGAAACAGCCGTATGCTGGCTTGGTTTCTGCCTACGTGTTTGACCACTTCTCGCGCCGTTGGATGTTGCTTTGAGTTTTGCTTGAATCTTTCGGCGGGAATGTCAGGGGAACCCTTAGTTGGTGCTTTGGATTTGGTGGTTTTGGGGATTTGAGCGGGTCCCTGGTTCTTGTAGCGGGTAGATGGGAAACCCCTCCCTTTCACTACCACGACATACCCTGGGGGTTCATTCCACCATGGGGTTGATATAACCGCATTGCTTACCTGAAGATTGCCTGCTGGTGAAAAAGCTTCTTCTCTTGGACTCAGGTCTTTCTCGTGATGGTTTTGGTGGCCTAGTGGCACTGGCTCGTGATGAAGTGATAGCGTGGGCTAGTGGAAAACCTTTCACTGCTTGGACTTGACCCCCCCAAGCCACCAGCAGCAGGATAACATGGGGTATCTAGCCACTGTATACCCGGCCTCAGTTTGGAACCCTACCACAGCAAGTCAGCAACGGTTTCACCAGAGTTTTCTCGGGAAGCAGTGCCGGCCAAGCAGAGCCTAGATCAAATTTGCGAATTGAGATGTCAGAGGCGGTTTCAATTCAGACTGACTCGCTTCGAAAGCGAATCGACCTGAAATGATGCTTTGGGTTTTCAATGCGCAGGTTTGGCCGCTGAGCCTCTTGGAGTATGGCGCAGAGAAACCCATAGTGTTTCATCCGGATCCCCCTTTTTCGGGACTGGCCTTTTGGTTCAAACCCAAAGGAAGACCACAGCAAGTTAAGAAGTTCCCAGTTTTAGCATGTACCCACGGGCGTTTAAGAACCCTTTGGTGATTTGGAGGGGTTGAGGATTTAAACCCCTAGAGGGCAAACGGGAACCTAGGGAACTTGTCGACTGGTTCTTTGGTTGAAGGCTTGCATCTCTGGAACCTCAATTTCGGGAAGGTACTCTTCTGGGCTTCGAAGGGCAACCGGGAAACCACCCGGTTTGGGGGTGGGTACGTGTCAAGGCTGTGGAACCCCATCTTTTTGAGACAAGCCCGGATGGGTGCGTGTCAAAACTGTGGACCCCCCCCCCCATTTTTGGGGAGCTTCCTTTCGGTTCCAACCTTTCCAACCACCAGGGCAGGCAGCCCCAAGAGCAGACGAATCCACGGAAACCTCTCGCGAGGTGAAGCTGGAGGACGTGGAGAACTACCAGGAGATCCTCGCAGAAGTGGAGGCACAGCTGCGCGCCCTTTGCGATCCCGACAAGGCGCGGAGCCGCGGAGCCGCAGAGCCGCGAGGCTCAGAACGCCGCATCGATGGAGCGACCTGAGCCCAGTGGCTTTCATATCCTCAAGATTTTCCGGCGAAGGCGGTTTTGGTGGGTTCGCTCTTTCTGGGGTTTTTGCATATCCCCAAGCCATACCACCCGCAACATCCCATGTTCAAAGTCCCAACTGTCCCAAAAAGCAGCCGAGTAGTGCTGAGTTGACTTGGGCTTGGCTCCTTGGGCCTTGGGCCTTGGCTGTTTCTCATGTGGTGAGTTCCAGTGCTTGGCTTGGCAAAAACGAAAAGACAACATTGCGCCGGCCGCTGGCTTGGCAATGTATTCGTGTTGTTTGTAAAAATGCATGTGTATTTGTTATTCCTATATATATACAAATTGTATATGAAGAAATCAGTATTAAGTAAAACAAAAACAAGGAACACACAATTATTGAAGGAAACATATATATATATATATGTGTATGTATATATATATATATATTGTATATGAAGAAATCAGTATAAAGTAAAACAAAAAGAAGGAACACACAATTGCAAACCTTGAAGGAAACACCGGAGGCTGGAATTTGCTGCCAAGGTTGAACAATTTGCGGAGTGTAGGTGGAAAGATAAGAAGGCGCCTTATTTTGGATGGGGCAGCCGGGTTGGCAGAGGCTTGCGATTTGTTGGGTTGTTGTTTCGGAGATGAAACACGGCGACAGAGGGAAGAAACCACCTAGGTAAAAATTGGATAACAGCAACCGTCAACACTAGGCTGGTGCTACCAGGCTGGTGCTTTTGGAGCGTTGCTTGTGTTGGTGTAAAGCTGCCTAGCATAAGAAAGCTTGATTAAGCGCTTGCCATTCAGATTGGTATTTGATTCATGTGCCTTTTGGCGCAACATATTCACACGGGAGTCACCCAGAATCCGAGCCCCAATTCGGTTACGTGGTCAGAATTTCCTAGGATTGGGCAGTCAGTTTTCGGATATTTGCAAAGGTGGTTTTTGAAGGTATGTTGTGTGTGTGTGCGCGTGTTTTTCAGGTGGGGGTTTTGAATCAGGAAACCCTTAGTTGGTGGTTTGGATTGGTGGTTTGGGATTTCAATCCCTGGTTCCTGTCGTGGGTAAATGGCAAGCGACCCCTCAACCACCGAACCACCAATCCAAGCCACCAATTAGAGCGAAGCTGATTGAAGATACCCTTTTTTGAGGGCCCTTCCGGACTGGATCTCTATAGGTTCTCCATTAGAAGGCTGCATTGGGGGCGTTTGAGTGAGTTTGCCTTGCGCAACATGCGTACAGTTCTTTGAGCCAAATCGAGCTTGCCCGATCTTGCTGGGTCTTCCCGAAGGAGAATTCTTCTAGCTTTGCATATGGTTCATATGGTTTCTTGGGTTCCATGATTTGCAAGCACAGGTATGTGGAACATTTGCCTTTCTGTGATACCGGCGGCGTCCCCATACCCACTTGCCGCGATCAAGCGGATTTCACAAACAAAGATCCTCGCGAGGGGAGTTCCCATGGCATCAGAAAGCACACAATCCTCGGTCTCAACGGTCTCGGGCTGTCGGTTTCGTTCGCAGCTGTTTGGCCGAAGAAAACGTTCGGCCACTCCACGCTGAGCCAATGAGCGAGTTCGCCTTGCAGTCATGCTGCTGCCTGAAGCCCTTCCCCAAGATGATGAGCCCCAGATGTGAATTGAAAAAAATGGGGAGCCCTTATTGGTTTAATACCGTGGATGGCCGAACTCCTGCAGCTAAGAAACCTGGACACAGTACGTTTCAATTGTTTAAAACATGTGAAGAAAGAACCCTTCCCCGTCCCCCACCCGGTACAGGGACCTTTATCACGTGTGAGCTCGTTTTACCCCCAGAGCTCTTTCTACTTTGTTCAGATTCATAGGATCCAACTCCAGTTTTGTTTGGGCTGAGACGGCGGGAGACTCGGTGGGTTGGCGTGGATATCTTTCTTCAAACATCACTCCTACCAAGGGAAACGTGTTTCTCCATCTGACAAAGTGAGCCACACATTTTGCAGGGGGGCCAGTTTCACAAACCCAGTTCCTTGTTATTCCGCAGCTACTGCAAGCTATGGGGTCGATTCAGAAAGCATCTGCCAGGGTATACTACCTGGGCTTATTTGGATGTGACTTTGTTGCAGGTGGTACCCATATTAGGGGTGGCCTTAAATCGAAACCAACAGGGAGCCCATCATCTTGAGGTGTGATTACTCCACTGCAATGTAGCATCGAGGGGTCACCCAAAAGAAGATTCCTCCAAGCAGGATGCCTCTTGATCAATGAGGAAGGTGACTCATCACCAAGGAGGTTGATTAAGGAGGAATATGTTTTTCCCTTCACCAAATGGAAGGTGATTAAGGACGGCTTGAGTCTAGTTCACCCGCAAGTATCAATGGGGTCGCCCGCAAGCAACACCTTCCAGAAAAGTGTTTTTGTGTGTTTCCCCTCTCTGCAGGAGAGCAGTTCACTCATTTTACGTTGTTTAAGATTTAAAAATATGTTTTTTGTTTTGTTTTTTAATCTTTAACTCTTTTTGGGTATTGGCGGGCACTTGGATGTTCAGCCAAGTTAGTAAGTTGTTGGTAACCTAGACCATAGCCGACCCTGTGTTCAACCCAAGTCGCTGAGCAGCCAGACACCAAGCGGCACCCTTGTTTGCTTGGATGGGGTTTCCCTTCAAAAAGCAAGTGCCAAGAGAACGGGTGCCCTTGATTGACTCACAGGGTGTCTCCAAATCGGATATGGGACCCCCTAACCTGTCCACTACCCAAAAAAGCGGGTGTGCCCTTCTTTTCCCTATGACCAAAAACGATGGGGTAGACTTAGGATACATTTTACATTTGACCAGTGACTCAAAGTGAAGCAAACTATATCATATACAGCGTATAACTGGGCCTAGCTCTAATCATGGATCAAAGAAGGGGTTGTGTAGCCTGGAAAATCCAAGGACAAATGACATGATCCTCCTCAACGATGCGTCGACCGAGCAGCCGTCCCTGTTCCAGCGTTTTCTTTGCTACTGCCAGCCCCAGGCGGGCCGGGAACCTTCGACTTCGATAATCTGCTCCTTCGTCGATTTGCACCAAGCCTCATCCAAGCGCTTATCCTAGGCTTATCCAGGATAGCCCCCCCACCGCTCTCCTGGGAGGTCCAAAGTGAGTTTGCACCCTAGTCCTGATGTCCTGATCCCTCGGACCCTCAGACCCTCGGCCCTCCAAGAGAACCCATCGCGACCCATTCATCAAGGGCTGCCCAATTGAATACTAGGCGTTGATCATGGCGCACAATTTTGTTGTTCACCGGGGGGGTTATTGACCGACAAACAGATAGCTTTTCCATTGCGTGTTTGTGAAGGACATGCGCACAACCCGCGTGTTACGGAGAAAAACACAAAAAACAAACAAACAGGCGACAACCATATTGCGCCTCGTCCTTTTCGGGGGAACAGTAGTTTTATCCGAGTGGACTTTTGGTTGACATTGAACAATTTCTGCGTTTCAGCTTTGCTTGTCGATTCCCAGTGGTCTGCCAGGTGAAATTAAACAACAGAAAGCAGGGCTCCTTCATTTCCCAATTCTGTTGAAGTCAACTCCAAAGCTGCCTTGCTATTGAGGACACATACAAAATGCTGTTGATCTTAAAATTGCTTTCCTGTGTCTTTCTTATTATCCTTTTCCTATCTTCTTAGAATTATGTATTCTTCTTTTTGTGTGTCTTTCAATACCTTTTTTATTATTTCATTCACATTCTTGTTAAGATCTTCTTTAACTTCAATATCCTGCTTTTTGCATTTATTCTTCATATTATTTCCCATTCATTCTTATCTCCATGTAAATCCTAATAATCAATCACAAGGATATTCCTAACATCTGGATCTGGGACAAAAGCTATTTTACTTCCTCAACATCTAATTATCTTGGCCATCACCTATCTATCTATTTCTTCTCCAATTGTCACCTAATGAATTCAGAGATTAGGAAAGAATTATCACCAATCCAAATATTATAAAGGAGACAGATAATAGGATTAACATGGCAAATGTGTCTATGACAAGTTAATTCTTCTCTCACCAACATGATATTTTCCTGCATACAATTGTCTCTGGATCTTGAAGGTAGATAATGACAAAGAAAGATGAATGACAAGGAAAGAATAATTGGTTGGAGGGAATCTTCATTGACAGCTGTAACCTACCTTCAAGAACCTACGGAAGGGATAGGAACATGAAAATATGGGATAGATATTAATAAAAGCTGGAAACCATGAACCAACAGATGTGTTCCTTTGATTTGCCGGTTGTTTCTATTTTGTGCGTGTAGTCCTGTTGTCTGAAGAAGGTGCTTTCTCTGTGGTCATGTTGCATTGTTCAGGTGGGTGTCTCCATGTTTCTCCGGTTGAAGTCAACCAAAAGAACCTTAACGTGGTCTTCTCTTTGCTTTCCTCGGGGGGGAATTTCATATTGAACTCAATCAAAGAAACTAGAGTTCCTTCACTGTTCTTGGCATGTATTTTAGTCTTTTAGTTGTTTGGTTCTGTTCATTTTTACTGGGGGTTTGCAACAAATAAAGATTTTTGCTACCATACCAAGAGCAGGGATGGTTCGTCTTCTTTCTTGTCTTGAACTTTGCGGGTGTATTGGAACCAATGTTGTAAGAACAGGGTCAAGATTTGTCCCTCCCAGTGGGGTCAACCCTTCTAGTTATTGGTGGGTGAAGAGAATGGAACATCAACCCTTGGAACGAACGTTCCACCCGTTGAACTACGGTGAGGGAGACGCAGCCCACCACCACCACCACCACCACCACCACCACCACCACCACCACCACCACCACCACCACCACCACCACCACCACCACCACCACCACCACCACTCGCAAACCCATAGTACCTACTGAGGCCTTCTGTTTGAAACCCAAACAGTTCCTCTGGGTGGGGCCTGGGGGCGCCTGGCTCCATTTCTTTTCAGGTCAGGGTGAAGAATACCATGGACAAGGTCCCACAGCTCAAAGGCTTGGCGGGCCTTCTGGTGCAAGACGGGGACCACATCACCGGGGGGTCACTTTTCACCCTGACGCTTGGCCCGCTCGGCCGAGGCTCGCAGGCCTGGATCTTCGATTCGCCAAGTGGTAAGCCACCTGGGCTATGATCCACATATGCCTGGGTGAAATTCCTCTGAACGGAGGATTTCCGCAAGTGGGTCATGAACCCCCACCCACTGAACGGGGGATTTACAAGTGGGTCATGATGGAGGTTACCGACAACTTAAGAACTTGGCAATGAACACAAGAGTGTTCGGAACGGTTCGACTCGAGAAGTTCCTTTAGGGAAGCCCTGGTGGTTGTTTGTTTTGCACGCAACACGTACAGATGAGGACCCTCCAATTGGGGCTCCCAAAAGGGGCGCCCGCAGCGCCTAAGGCCTGGGGGTGAAAATTGGGTTCTTTTTTGGGGTCCCCTGTTTGGGCGGCCCGTGGCAATTTCTCCAAAGTCTTATTAAGGCAACATCGAGGCCAAAGGCCTCAAATGTTTGGGCTGGTCCTTCTTTTGGGGGTTCTGGGTCAGTGGGGTCCCTACACATGGTTGTTTTCTGTTTGGTTTCCCTGCAAAGCACGAAAAGCGGTTGTGGGAATGAGTGGCTAGCTTCCACTTTTGTGACAACGGGGAACCTCCCCTTAGACTGAGAATCAGCCATGTGGAAGGCTTTCCATTAGTATCCTCTTTGCGGTGGTTGCATTTCCCACCACCTTTTGTCGAAGGCAACCTCGGATGGAACGCACCAGGTCCCTTTTAAAGGACAATGACCTTCCACGGCCTCCCTCTGAGGTTCCATGTTGAATTGCTACTTGCCATAGACCTTCAATTAGTCCCCTTCAAACATATCTCACCCAGGGGCCAACATTTCACAAAGGGTGATGTTTAGAACCACCAAGATAAACATAAAGGGACCCTTCGAAAAGGCAAGCAGTGCGTTCAAGTGTACCTAGGGGTAGTCCAAATATGGGGCCCCCAAGTTTCCCATATGCGTGGGACATGATTTTTGGTCTGTTGACGGGACGGGAGGGGCCTAGCCATCCCTATTTTCTCATAAGATCGGGTGCATACCGAATTGAACCAACCGTGCGGATGGAGAAAGTCCTGCAGTTGGCAGGCGGTTTAATTCACAAGTGGTGTCGAACGATGTGAGTTTTACACAGTATTGTCCCTCTTAGAAGGTGGCTTCAAAATGCAGCCCTTGCAAGACCCCGTTAGAAGCCAGGTCTGTATGTATTCACTCTTTCTGGTACAGGCAGGTGAAAGTAGACCGCCATCCACGGTATTGTTTGTACGTCCAGTTATATTTGGTGTGTCTTGAAGCGGGGGATTCCGAAAATGGTCTGCTTTCTTCAGTTAGTTCCTCTTCAAACCCACACAACACCATCTGGGTCTGTCCTTTTTTGAGGGTACTTTTTTTTTGGCGGTTTTACGGGGAAACGAAAAGAACAACCACCATTCGGGGTCCCCTAAAACAAATCGACACGCCGATTTGTGTCTCCCGGGTTCGACATCGATCGATTCGAGGAAGTACGCGAAGTGGGACCCTGAGAAGCGCACGGCCATAGTGCCGGTGGACGGAGGGGCCTGCTGGTGGTTTTCGGGCACCGCGGGCCTGTGGACGGTCTCCGGGCTCAGATTTGCAGCTTTAGGTTGAAACAGCCATGATGTTTTTGAGGTGTCATGTGAGCTTGATGTTATTTTATATGTCATGGTTTCCTGCCTTTACATTTGGTTGACGAAGAGGTGGGTTTAAAAGGACACCAAAGGGACTCAAGGGACACGACCATTTAGAAAGAAACCTTTTTTTGACACATACCCATATTTTACGTTTGAGGGTTGGCAATATGTGAAACATCATTTGACAGCAGTCTTGGTGTACAGAAGGCAACGGCGTACAGCCCCTTGTTCTGCGTCCTCGCGAACGGCGCCAGGTGCCTTGGAAGACTTCGCCCAATTTGCAACAGGGCCATGTGGTGTCGTTTTTGGAGGGTACAAGTTTTCGCGTGGGTTTAAAGGAGAACCCCACGTAAAACACACCCATTTGAGTAGCCGGTCCTGCTATGTGGTTTAATTTGGATTCTGATACAGTAACCCATGGTTTTGGGTGCTTCTTAGTTGTTTAGGCCAGCAACACAGGACCAACCAAAAAAAGGCGAGTGGATTCATTGCCAGCCCAGAGGCCTAGCTTTTGGACGTTTTGCCATTTGGGTGTTTCAGCAGGTTCCCTTTCGACCTGCCATGGTACCTTCTTTGCGGGGTTGGGGTCTTTTCTCTGGCCCAGGAGGTGCTTCATGACGAGCGTGTGTGGAACTTGGGTGTTTGGCGTTAGCAAGTTGTGAGTTCCCGGGGTGTTAACCTGCTTATAAGTGCCTCCTGAAGTAGTGAGTGAGTACTGGGTTGTAGTTTAGGTGGCTAACCACTTACTAACTTTACCGAACATCCAAGTACTGGTCTTTGGTCTTTCGCATGATTCAAAACGAGGCCTCAAGGCGATCACCTGGAAATGTTCTGTGTTTTTTTTTGCAAGCGCCCCAGGTTACCTGGTTATACAAGTGCTCAACCGAACGATGGCACCAAATAAGAACAAGCCACATGCGGGAAATATCTATGGTGAGACCTATTTTGACCGTTTTGACAGAGAGAGAGAGAGAGAGAGAGGGAGACAGAAAGAGAGTCGGCAAGTGCTCTGCGTTGCTCACCTTTGAGGGGAATATTTAGTCTACGTGCCCCTGCGCCAAGAAAGCAGAAACACCAGTATGCCTATGCGAAACCAATCCGTATCAGAAACACCCATTCATATACCACGCTTGGTGCCCTTAGTCAGGGAGTTCATGTTTGCATGGTTTCTCTTGGCAGCACTTGGCGTGTTGTAGGCCAAGTTGGATTGGGGAAGACAACCCAGGCAGGGTTCTTAGACCCTTGATGGAAGGCTTTCACGGAAGGGTTCTGAGAGCCATTCTAGCGAGGGGCCCTATGATTAGCCCAAGGTCCAAGGCATTTATTATTTATAACCTGCTTAGCTGCCCGTTCAGTGCCCGATTGCCTGACCACTGTACAGCGTTCAGCTTGAAACGGCTCCAGCTTGGCCCATGTGAAGCAAGGCGTTTCCCAGAAGCCCGGGCCTGGGTGAAATATGTTTGTTACGCACATCAGTACTTCCCCAGAATTTGTTTCCCCTCTTGTTCTTTTTTTTTGTTGGGGGGGTCCTCTTTGTTTTCCACTAACCAGGCAAAAAATGTAATATTTTGCTGGGGTCCTAGTTCCAGCCAAGAGTAGGTGTTCTGTTTCAATGAGGTTCTGGATTCAGCCCGCATGCAAGACTCAAAGAGGTGGCTCTTCCTTTGTTCTAGTCTGTAAGTCATCGGCCGTAGTAGCCCATTTGGGTCAACTTGAACAGGGGACTCATAAGTGGGTTATTGTCTAGGCCAACAACTTGCCAGGGGTCGACTCCAAACCTATTGCATACTTCAGGTAGACCAAGTTGGAGATTAACAATATCTGTGTGTTTTGTTTGCAGCCCTTGTTTTGGGCACTTCTTTGAACATCCGTATTTTGGCCAAGGAACATGTCAACTTTCTGCGGGGTTGCGTGGCAAGAACAGGTTGCGTCTTCTCTACAGCCTTAAGGCCAGGCCTGAAGGATGGAAAATCCTGGACCCACACCAAACTTCCCCAGAATTAGCTCCCCCTTTTTTGTTGTTGTTGCTTTTTTTGGGTCCCTTTGTTTTGCACCAACCAGGCAAAACAAATACTATGTTTTTGCTGGGATCCCAATTCCAGCCTAGCAAAATGTAGGGAACTCGCCCCAGCATGCTGAGCCATTTTGGGCCCAAACAGGTTCCTCGGGAAACCCCTGGCCCCGTTTTGGTCCCGGAGCGGATCAACAGCTTCAAAGATGTCATGTTTCTCTCGCAAGGTGCAGTAACTTTACCTACAACTTCAGCTTCTCAGAGGACTTCTTGCTGCTTCGCCAGACTCTGGCGCTTTTCGGTTTTCCCGTTTTCGTTCAAAGCCAGAGGTGTTCCCAAAGGCCCGAAGGCCAATTGCGTCTAGAGGTTTTGCTGAGAATCATCCCTTTTGCCAGCAAGTCCCTTTTTTTGCCAGCCCATAAAAGTGACAAAGTCCCCCAGTAGTGCCCTTTTACCCTTTTTTGGGGGAGGGTTCCCCTACTAAAATAGACTAAAGACAAAAGGGTACCCTTATTGTAACCTCTCTACTGGAGGACCTAGGAAGTGACATCCTAAAAACATACAGCTGGCGTGTTTAAGGGAGCCCCCCCAAAAGTAATCGGCTTTGTAGGCGATGTTGAATTAATTGGATGTTGTTTTGGTTGGAAGTCTGACCGTTTGACTTGTTGGTCGGAAATGTAAAGATATTTGCCCACCAAGCACCAACAGGGCTCCTTAACAGATACATGTTGCAACCATTTGAAACATGTCGCTTTTTCAACACCAACATAAGGGGAAACCACCATTGACAAGTTGCAATGTTCAGGTGTATCATGCATCCGGATCCCTGACCAACAACATGTTTTCTCTTATCCAAAGGTCCCCTCGCCACCAAGCTCCATCAGGTTTTACCGCGTTGTTTGTGTTTCTTGTTTTTTTTTTGCCTTCTTGGGTGTCCATCACTGTACCTCACCGGCACAAACATATGTCACTAGTGTCGACATATATCTATATATACACACACACACTTTATCACTCTTTTCAAGGGGGAGGATTGGTCGTTTGGAGGTTTGGGAACATCGACATCTCGGTGAACCCGTGCCTTTGCTTGCCTTGGCTACCACCCTGGTTAACGGTGCCGCGGTGTATCCAGTCCTTCACCATGAAGCAAGACAACGGCTCCATGGACGGCCGCCCGGAAGACTTGAGTGTCCTTTTGTTTGGGGAGTAGCCTCTCTCCCACCAACATGGCACCTGACAGGGAAATTGTCACTGTCCAGGTGCCTCCCCACAGGTGTCATGTTAGGGGTGCATAAGTGTCCTTTTTGGTCCATTTTTGGTCGTTTTGGTAGAACAATAGATGGCGATTCCTGGTTTACCTGGTGAATGTTCTACCAGGGCCATCTATTTCCCCTAAAAGGACGCCTATGCTTGGGTGCCGTTTTTTGGGAGTAGCCTCTCTCCCATGTTGGTGTCACTCCAAGAGACAGTTGACCTTCCAGGTGCCTCCCCACAGGTGTCATGTTAGTGGGAGGAAAGGCAACCATTGTTTGGCGGTTTGAGAGGAGAAGCAAGGGGGCAACCACCATTTTGGGAGGTCACCTTGGAAAAAAAAAGGCACGCCCATTCGTTCCATTGCGCGTATTTCTTGCCCAAAGCGAAGTGACCTGAAATGACTGCTTAGTTATCCCATGTTTGGGCCATTGTTCGTGGCCGCAACAGGTTTCCCTGAATATGTGGGTTCTTTTGGGCGTTTCTGGATTTTTGAGGGTGCCGTTTTAGGTTGGCAAGGAAGCTAAAGCGTTTGGCCGGGGTCTTGTTTTGCGGGTTTCTTCTCACTTTCTGAGTTCCTCGTATGGTTGCCATGCTTCGTGGCAGCCAAGAAGGTTGGTTATTGTTTTGCCCCATTCGATGGGAAGGGGTCTTTGAGGGTGGCTGGTCAGGGAGGGAATTTCCTTGTTTCGGGCGGGTGGGGAAAAGGGGAGGCCTAGCACTTGATTCAAATCAAACGGAAAAATGTGTTGTACATGGTTTTCCCTTGAAGGAACAGCCACTGTTCCTCTCCCTGCAACGGCAAAGAGGCTGCCCTTTCCTTTGCTTCGACTGTTGGCAAAACGCGAAAAGGTTTTCTGTCGGCAGAGTTCTTCAGTTTAGGCAAGGGCCAAAACGTTCGAAACTTGTTTGGTTGCAGACCATAGCTCAATGAAATAGTCGCAAGACCCACCAAACACAAACATGTCCTGTAGATTTTTCTGTAGCTGGTTTAATGGTTTTCTGGCGAGTTTACAGAGAAACAGTCAGTTATTTGGTCAAGGCACAGACTGGTCGCGCTACAACTCCACCCTCGGGTGCCCTGCGCAGTTCTATTACAAGCTGCGAGAGGTTTGGGACGTGGATGGCAACCCGGGGAAATTCTTCGAGCGGCTCGAGATCGTGCCGCAGGAAATCATGGTCACCTACTGAGCAATGCTCTGACCCTTTCTGGGGCCCCCAAAATTAGATTTGACTTGTTTGGGTGGACTCATATAAGGCAGAACGAATCAGAACATATGATGCTTGGAGTGTTTCAGATGTGGGCCAAGAAAAGCAATGCTTAACTGATCCTTTAATCAAAAAAAAAAGTCAGATGTCAGACTTGATGAACGTGTGCTGGCCAAAGCTCCAGTTGACGACTCGGATGCCGCACTTCTCTTTTGTCGTTGGTGAGACGGCACGGACTTGATGAGACTACTTGCTGGCGCGATTGGTAGGGAATTAAAAATGGAAGGACCCCAAGAAAACCCATCCAACTGGTGGTTTCCTTCATTCGCGGACCAACGCGTGGGTTCATCCCCGCATTTTCCAATGTAAATTGGAATGACCCCAAGAAATCCCATCCAACTGGTGGTTAAACCGTCCAATTGGTGGTTTCCTTTTTTCGGGTGAACCCCTGGGTTCGTTCCATGCCTATCGCACCAAGACGATTCTCTCAGACTTCTGACTCCTCAGCTCAGCAAAGTCCGCGACAGAAAAGCGAGGAGCGTTTCTATATATATATATATACCACCGTGGATGCACGAAATCCTGCACCACCTAAGAAACCCTGGAAGGATGATTCCCCCCACAAATACCAACAAGCAATGGTGTCCCATGGTTTCAAAGTGGTGCAGGATTTCGTCCATCCACAGTGGGTCCCCCAGTAGTGCCATGTCTCACCCCTTTTTGGTTGGGAGGGTTCGCCTACTAAAATAGACTACAGAAAAATCGGGTACCCCTATTCTAACCTCTCTACTGGAGGACCTAGTATATGTATAAATGACGTAATATGGGCATCTGCAGGAAAGAGGCGCGCACAGTAAAGTTGACACCTTCAGCTAGAATATAGGAAGGTAGGCCGGGGGGTGACTATATATATATATGCCCCACACCTTACAAAGCAAAGCACGAATGCCTTGGTTTGGGTCATTTTCCAAAAGTTAGATTGCAATTCAACCGCCCTCGGATCCCGCCCCCCTCCCCCCCCCCGCCCCCGGTACCCGTTTGGGCAGTTGTGGCATCTTTTTGACCCGGTGAAATTAGCACGGAAGTCTGGGTAGATTACAGTCACGTTCCGGGTATTGCAAAGCGAAGGCTCCTTTCTGCGGGATGCCTTGTGTTCGTTTGGTGAATTGTGAATTGATTCTTGTTTATGGGGAAAGGTGTTTCTGACCTAATCCTTTGACTGACCATTTCGTTTCGGCGCGAGTGCACGTCAGGTTGGGGTTGGGCTTGGGTCACTTGCCAGAAGGACATTTTGGCACTTTTTGGTTTACCCACCACTACAAAGCCACCTGAGGGGTTCCGCGCGGAGGTGGCATCGCAAGTGGGGCGCATCACACAAGAGACCTCCCCGCTGAAGACGCAGAAGGCTCCGGGGGAGGTGGAAAAAAGGGGTAGATTCGGTAGATCTGAAAGGGACCCCTCGCCATGGGGGGGATCCCTTAGCTTGTCTTTGAAAACCACCCGCAAAACCGTTTTGACCTGGGTCGAACCTCACGATCCAAAGGATAGTCTCCCCCAAGAAACACCACGTCTTGACCCAGGCGCACCAGGTTCCCGGTGTTTTCACTTTTCAGCCCGCGACCTCGTGTGCTGGGCCACGGAAAATGTTTCACGGGAAAATACAGGGAGTTATCTATTGAGAGTTATCCCATCTATTGGTGTGGGCCCTTGGCCTGTTGTGGATTTTCTGTCCACATCATGCAGACAGACTATATAATGGGAATGTAAAGGGTATACATATAAACATCAAGACATATATATATATATATACATATATATATATATATACATACAACATATATACAAGTATATGTATATATTTATATATGTGAGGACACATACTTGGGTGTTCGGCCAGGTTATGTGGTGAATAGCCCAGATCATGACCTTAGTCTCCCACCCAAGTACTGACCAACTTGACCCCATAGCAATGGCCCTTTTAAGGTCAGAGCCTGACCTTCATGGCAAGGCTTGTTCACCCTGGTGTCGGGGGCTGGCAGGACCCTCCAAAAATGGTTTGAAGCAACACTGTTAGTGGGAGACCTGGGCTTCCCTTGAAGGTGAAATGGCCCAATTTTGAAGGAGATCCTTGAGCTGGGTGAAAGTAGATGTCACAATTCCCACATGCTTTAGCGACCCCCTTTCGCTTACTGCAACCCCCCCTCCCACATACAAAGGGAATTGTACCACTTAGTTTCACTTGTGCGTTTTGAAGGAGGAGAAAGAGGATGGCTATCAGCTCAAGATGGTGGAGTATGAGGTGATCGAAGGCCGGCAAACGCCAGAATTCGCGCCAAAACGCCGACCCCCTGAAAGTATAAAGGCTTATCCGTTGACCTCGTGGGTTCCCAGGTTTGCTCGCGCCATTTAATTAGTTGGGCAGGCCGCTTGCAAAGCTCTTGGGGCATCCCTGGATGCATGAAGTTTATGGGGATTAGGGATCGCCCTCTGCAGAAAGCAACGACCACCTTCCACAATATACCAGTTGGTTGTCGCAGACGTCTAGAGGTGCCCCGCGTGAAAGTTGTTTTTGTTGTTTCGCTTGGGCTTGGATGGGGGGTTCGTTGAAGATGAACTAGCCAACAAGGATCGCCCTTGTTTCCTGGCCACTGAAGCTTTGGGTCTTTGATGTGATCGCAAAACAATTGCCTAAGCAAAGGAAGAAGGACAACGTATGCTCTTGCTGGCACGAGTACCAGGGTTACCTCATGTTGAGCAGCAACTGGTTTATGGCATTTCCAGTTGGCTACATGATTAGCCCGTGAGCCTTGCACAATCCATTGCAAAAGCACCAAGCATGCAAAATGGCTTTGCCATGCTTCACTCATTTGCCCAAAGCCGGGCATTTTCGGATTTTTGAAATCTTGGCCCATCCCTAGCCAAGATTCCAACTGACCTTTGGCCTTACCTGGTTTGTGCGTGAGCAAGCAGGCCAGCGGGCAAAGATTGAATTTGGACTCTCTACACAGGTTGCTGTGCATGTTTGGACCGTATATTTGTTCCATGTTGCTGGAGCCCGTTCATGAGCTAAAGTGAAACCTGTGCATCTGAGTTGTTCAGTGGCACTCATCCGATTTGTTGCTTGAGCGAGCGCAGGTGTCTTTTTGTTGGGTCAGTTTGCTCAGAAATCAAGGGCACCGGTTTCAGGTTGGTTCCATTCATTCAGTGCCATCTATTTTCAGAAAAGGCCACCTTATGACAGCGAGGTTTCCACGGTTTGCGCTGTTGATCATTCGCTCGGTGGGCCGCCGAACGGGTGTTCGTCCAAGTTGCAGTGGGCAGCCGAACACAGGATTTACAACTCCACTTGTCCTTTGTTTGTTAAGGGCCTCCCACAGCCAACGAGGCTTTTAGGGTTCTGTTTAGGAGCATCTTTTGTTGGGGGGGGGTCCTCTTTGGGGGGTCCCTGACAACCATGCGCGCTTAAGGAGACTTAGTTGGTTATCCCGCAGGTGAAACACCAACTTTGGCCGAGCATGTTCTCGGGCAGGCAAGGGTGGTATCAAGTCGGGCGGCAAGAAAGTGAAGAAGTCTTCCTATCGCGTGATCAAGGCCGGCCCAACTGACGGAAACAAGCCGAATATGTTTTTTGCGTGGCCCAGATGTTCCGCTGGTTTTAACTGACTTTGCACCGTGTCACCGTGAATTTAGTTAGGGACCCTTTCGTGGACGTCATTTAGGTTGGGATTCACGTCCACCCTTCCCAACTAAATTTTGTAGCCATTTTCTTAGGTGTACATGAGCTTCTTAGTCAATCCCCTAGTGGCCACGGACCTTTATAACACCTGCCATTTACTTAAGAATATGTTTTACTTTTGTTTTCTTTTCCAGCAGCCGTATTTGCTAATGGAGGACACTGGTGGACGCTGCGCAAAGTGCTTTGTTTGCCCTTTTTGCTCACAGCAACTGCTTAAGTGAGAGGCAATACCTATTCCCGTCTGGCTTTTCGGGGCGAGCAAACGAGCAGGGGTTGGCTATGTTGACACAAGCAGGGATCTTATGTTAGGCATTTGTTTAAGCATTTTGTGCACTACCTGCTTGCAAGTGGGGAGGTTCAATATGACTCGAAGGTCGGCTCTCTTCCAGAGTTCCAGTGAAATGCGACTTGGTAGGGTGTCATTACAATCTGTGTATGTTTCGGGAAGGCAACTCTTTAGTGGCCACGACTTGTTTGGGCCAAGCCTCGCAGGAAGTGAGTCAGTGTATCGTCCCCGCTTGTTGTTCTACCCTTTTTCGAAAGGGAGCGTGAAACCCCCTTTCAAATCAACCCATGCCCTTGAGAATCGGTTGGGCTTCCATGCGAGTGTGTCTTAAACTCAATGGTGACTCACCCCGGAAAGTGGGAGGTCCGCACCTGAAGGCTTTGTTCTGAGGATACGAAACGCTTAGAGGGCCAAACAATGCCCCAAAACCTTTGGGTGTTTCATTTCGTATCCCTTCAAAAGCAACCTAGAAAGGGTACCCAGCCTCCAAAGAGCCACGCCCAATTGCTCTTTACGACCTTTGAGCACTTCACGCAGTGACTCCTTCTTATCGCAGTGACTTTCTGAGTGCCTTGCCTTGATGCTTTCTAGGAATACATAGATACATATCTATATATATATTATACATATATATATATATATATTTTATACATACACGTATATATATATATATTATATATATATATATACACGTGTATATATATATATATATTATATTGGTTTGGTGAACAAGTCTCTGAGGTTTCTTTGGCCAATCCACGGTCCGTCGGAATGGGAGAGCCTTGTTAAACGAAGAGTAACATTTGAACTGGCAGCCCCGAGGCTGGCAGCGGATGTTCGGCCTTCGTGGATGTTCGGCCAGACAAATTGATTAATTCGCCACCCCTTGCATAAATCGCTGCGGATATCCGCCTTGTTAATTCTTGAAGCATGGTTCTGGGGTTACGACCATTTTACTACCGGGTTTTGATTGTGACTCATGTGTGTGTGTGTGTTGGAATGTGGGCCCCGGAAGTTGGTTGCGTTCCCTTTGTCTTGCTTCCACGCCCGATTCTACAATAGGGGCACCTGAACCCTCAAACCACCCTTAAAGGGGGAAATCACTCTAGCGTTTTGGGGGCAGTATCCCATCTTAGAGGGTAATTTGTAGTTTGAGGGTTCGGGCACTTCCCTTGGAGAATTTCAAGCTGAGCTAAGGGTGGGTTTCACCTTGGACTCACCCCCTCGAAGAAGCTTAAAGGACCTCCTCAAGAGCAGAAGCCCTCTATGAGGCGGTCCTTTTACTCGAGGCAGGAGGTCAAAAAGCAAGCCCTCCCGCCTGAGGTGAGTTCTCCTGAAGGGCTCGTGACATGTAGAGCTACATGGTAAGTTTTCTATTGGTTTCCGGGCTCTGACCTTTGAACACTCGTGATGTTGCAGCCCAGCACATCGCAGGACGACTTTCCTTTGATCTACCATCTGGATGTGGGTGCCATGTGCGCTCACGGGGTCAGAAGAGATCAGGGTTTGCACCAGCCTATGCTTTCTGGTGGGCTACCGAGTTCTTTGGGTCCTCTTTTAAACTTCTCCCAAGGCGGCATAAGAACCAACTTGTCCAAACCGAATCGACCAGCTGACCTCTTGTTTTTCCCTGATCCATTTTTCGTCGTGGCCCCAAAAGGTGATCGCCCTTGTTTGGTTCCGAACAGCGACGTGATCACCACTCGGGCGCGTTTTTTGTTTCTGTAGGCTGCCGTGATCACTTGCCATTGCCGTGAATGGTGAAAATGCGTGTTCATGCAGTGGTACTGGCCACTCTGACCTTTATGTGTTGCTTTAGACTGTCCTTCGGCATCCTCTTGCGGTTCGCAACTCTGTTTGATCTTCTTTTTGCTTGCGGTGTTGTGTTTGCCCAGTTGGTGTTGAACGAAAATGAACATCACTGGTCAAACTTCATGTCTGCACGTGGCAACATAGCCCGGTCCCAAGCATCGCCCAATTGACCCAAGCGCTCCAATTGACCCCACTTTGCGCCTGAAGTAGATCTTCAGGTAGAGGACCCGGCTGCAGAGCAATGGCTCGGTCGTTGTTTTTGGGAGGGGAACCCGTTTTTTGTTTGGTTTGAAAGGGGCACCAAGGGGTTTCAACCGCCATTCGTTCGGAGCTTTCAGGTACCCGAACATCATCCTGTCCAATCGCCTGCAGCCCATGGCGATCGTCGGGAAACCGAGTAGTTTCTCCAAGCAGTTTGGGCGCCCAAGAACCCCAAAAGGGCCATGCTTTGGTACCCAAGTTCCAGTATCTGGGTCTTATGAGGGTTTTGGAAAGGTTTAAGTATATTTATGGCCATTCTTAGTAAAACCAAGAGTCAACTCGTCGTTGTGTCCAATTCAAGGTTGGGGAAATATACACCGGAATCCGCCATATGATGTTTGGGCCGTTTATGAGGTTCGTCTCGCGAGACGCTTGTTTTGTTGACATATCCACACAGGACGTGCTATTGAAGCGTTATCAACAACAGGGCTGCTAGCCCACTCCAATCCAATTCTAGTCAAGTCTCCCAGTCCACTTTAGTCCCCCCAACGAAGCCAATATCCTCCCAAGTCCATTCCAGTCTCCAGCCCAGTCTCAAACCCAGTCCAGCGCCCAGGGGCATTTGTGTTTGAAACCACCAGACCCTGGCGTGCCTCTGCAAGGAAAGCCACAAGTCGTTGTTTAACTTAATCAGTTTTACTTGCCCAAAGCCGACCCCCCAGCCGAGCTTTGAGTTTCCCCTTGGTCCATGTTTTTTCGTCATGCCCCCCCCCCCCCCGGCGATTGGTTTCAATGTTTGGGTCCGCGGTTCAAAGGGCCAAGGGCCGAATGGCTGAAATGCTCTCAGCATGGCTAACCTCCTCTATCATGCAGCCGAACGAAGCTGCAGCAATTTGCGGGCAGATGGATCTGTTCATGACTGTGTGCGTGTGAGGGTGTGTGTGTGTGTGCTTGAATGTCAGGCCAATGTTGCTCAACCGTTAGTCCTATGGCACCGCTAGTTGGCTTTGTTTGGCCATTCTGAGGCTGATAACTGATGGGCTAGAGTCTTGCGATTACGGCTTCAGGTATTGGACCTACGTGCAACTGAGCGCAACTTGAATGGCATAGCCAGTGCACAATCAACATACTAGCTCCCTACGTCGGGTTGACAGAAGACCCTACCAGTGAACAAGCTCCAAAAGGTAACATGTCTTATTTGGGGCTGATTGAGCCACCTTATGATCATGTGTTGGGCTACCCATGACCAGAGCTTTTGAAGCGCCCATGTTAAGGGTGCCTAGGGGCAGAAGCAGTGCGATGTTCTGTGTTGATTTCTTTAAGATGGGTTTTGGGAAGACGATTTTTTCGCCAGGTGGGTGTGTCGTTGTTTGGAGGGTACTCCTTTTTGTGTGGTTTTAAGGGAAACCAGAAGGAAACACACACAATCTTGGGAAGGTCCACTAAAAAAGGCTCGCCCGGGTGTTGATTATGACCGACATTTGGGTGTGGCTCAAAATTAAACCGGAGGGGTTACGCATGTTTTGGTCCATCTTTCCACCTACCAGGGTTCCATTGTGGTACCGGTTTTTTGAGCCACCATTTGAAAACACACTTCGACATGGGCCGGTTACGTCGTTGCAGGTGGACAAGGAGTTTTGCAACTCCTGCTCCTACAATGACCCCGCCAACAAGTTCTCGCCTGAGTATTTTCTGAGAGAGGAGGTTGAATGATTCGGCCAGTGGCCAGGACTATTGCAATTTGTGGAGGGGTGTAAGCTGAAGGGAAACTTACTCTTTAATTCGAGGACTTTTAGTTATACTCTTTGGGAAAATGATTTGACAGGCAACTGCAAAGTGTGCTTCTTGGCCAATCCAGTTAGGAAGTGAGGAAGGATAGGCAGGGCCCTACCACTGACTCATGTAATCTTCTTTGGAGAGAAGAGCACTGCCGGGCATTGCACCTGTCGCAGTGAGTGGAGAGACGGTGGCTGGATTTGGACAACTGCCTTGCGAAATTTGGGTGGGACCGATTCGGATGTAACTCTGATCAGTCGCCCCGACAAGCTTGAAAAGGCCAGCGGTTAAATATATGCGGCGGATCACACGCATTGCGGCGTCCTAAGCTATATCAGCGCCACCGGCCACCTCGCGAATCGCCTTTCGCTTGATCTGCCCTCGTTTACAGGGAGGTAGGCAGGCCGAAGCCGCAAAGATGCGCGACGACATCGCCAAGGCAGCCTATAATCAACCCGATCAATTCCATCCATGAAGGTCCTTTCCAGCGGATTTTTGGTTGTCGGTTTGCGACTTGTGGCAAGTGTTCCGTAATACTTTCATCGGCCATGGTTGGCTGTGTTTTGAGGGTACTCTTTCAGGTTGGTGTTGAATGATTCCTATTATTGTTATTATGTGTTGATCATCAGTCATATGATTACCTTATTACTAGTTACTTATGTGTTGTTGTTAGTTAGTGTTATAGGTTATTATCATGTTGTGTAGTATTGGTATTTGATTACTTGTTGTTTGATTTATGTTGTGTTTAGATTATGTCATGCTATTGCATGTGTTTGGGGTGTCGCGGCCTCTGACTCCTGCATTTGCCACATTCTCCGTCAGTTCGCAGGCACCTCTGCTCGCTCGTTACTATTATTGTTAGCATGTCATATTATTAGCAGCAGTAGTACCGTTAGCATTATTGTCAGCCTTGTTTTCTGATTATTGCAGTTGCTGAGTAGCTTGTTTCCTTGTTTGTGTTAGTATTATCATTAATTATTACTATTTATGTGTTATTTATTTAGTCAGTTATTGTTTCATGTTTGTTTGTTTATGTTAATTTATTTATTTATTTATTTATTTATTTATTTATTGTTTTATTGTTTTATTTATTTATTTATTTAAATATTATTTATTGATTTGTTCAGATATTTATTTACTTATCTATGTATTATTTATTTATATGTTTATTGTTTGTTCATTGTTGTTTGTTTGTCGGTTCTATTTATTGAATTATGTACCCGCTTGTTGTTGCTTGCGTATGTGTTTATGTATGCTGTTCCCTAACATATGTTCATGTTTTTGTTTTTTTAGTAGCATGTGTTATTATACGCATTTATTATGATTTGTTTTATTATAACTTTTGCTGGCTGCTGAAACATGCATTTAACGAGCCGTTAGGTTGGTTTAATCTTGGAAGACAAAGGGACACCAACGCTTTGGGGGGGCGCAGTTTTAACCCAAGCTGGGAGTTGGAACCCGCTCAAGGGTTCCAGCTCTGCTTCGTGTTTATGCAGCACATGTTTGTTCAAGTTATAAATGGGTGTGTCTTTAGGGGACCCCCACAAAAATGTTAGTTTGCTTGTTGGTTTCCCTTCAAAACCGCAAATGAGAGGCACCCTCAAAAAGGCAGACCTAAATTTGGATAGGGGCGGTGTTCACGGAAATATGGGGAACCTTGTGTTGATTAACTCCAGGTAAGGTGAATGCTGACCGTGGAGAAATCAACCTCGGATTCATGGTGGGCTTCCCTCAAAAGAATGGACCCACTATTTTTTGCCGGGGATTTATAGGTAAACACTACCGTGATGTTTAGTGCGGGCAGAAGTTGTGTTCCTTGTATCCTATGGTCACCTGTGACGACAACTGAAGGCCTCGAGCCCCCGATAAGGGTCCAAAAGGTCGGGCCGCATGTTTGGAGGAATCGTTTTTTTTTTTTTCCAGAAAGCCCCGCTTTGGGTGCCATGTGTCAACATAGGGGAGCCCGAAAATTTCAATAGTGGTGCCAGCCATACCCTTAGACTTTTTGTTTTTAAGCCAATTCCCGCAAAGAGGCTGTCAATCGCTGCTTGGTTCAGCCAAACAGTTGCAAACGCAGCTGATGCGCGGATCTTGGAGCACCCGTGCAGATTTACACGGAACCCAACAAACCATTACCTTCAGAGTCTGGGAAGTATCAAGGAAGTACTCTGCGAAGTATGCAGGATCATCATCCCTCATTAGTTTACCCTGTGTTTCGAGCAACCGCAAAACTGAGGTCTCCTCGGCTCATATTCATGTTGAGCAGAATCTGAAATACGTTTGTTGGTTTACCTCAGATGTGGGTGTGTCTGATTCTGGGATTCGGACCCCCAAAACGTGGGTCTGGTTTGCGTTTGAACCCACAATAACACGGGGCACCAACTCCAAAAAACCACACATGTGCGCCCTACCCCTCGATCCGTTCCATCCGTGAAACGATTCATTCGACGTGGCAGTTGCCAGCGGGAGATGGAGTGGAAGCACCGGGCCGACCTCTATATGGCTACCAGGAGTGCGAGAAACCCCTAACCTTGGTGGCTCCCAGGCATCCGGTTCCTTAGCTTTTTAGGTTTTTAGTTGGTTTAGTGTTTGGCTTCGAATCTAAACTACCAAAAGTTATGCTAAAAGCAAGGGATCTGAGGACAGCACAGTATCCTACGACTTTCGCGGGGCTTGGGGGTGAGGGGAGCCCCCAAACAAAGTCCCTCCCCTCCCTCATTTCAGGCGCTCCGTGATACTTACTATTCAGAGGTACCCCCTGAGTTTGATTATTTCCTTACAGGAGAGCCACCCCTCATTAGTACTGTCCGGATTAATCCGAAGTTGACACTTCTGGGGATGGACAAAGTCTACTTTGCACCAGTCCGGATGGATGGAGCACTAAAAATACAGGGAACAACCACCTACCAACTGGTGCAGGCTTTTGTCTATGCACAGCATGTTTGCTTGCAGGGTTCCCCTTGTTTTGTGGCGGTTCTAAGGCACACCATGTGGGCCAATTTGAAGCGAGCTTTCTTTTGCTGGTGATGCCATGTGATTCAGAGCTATGTCCAACCTAAGAGTGACTATCAGTGACCAGGCTTTGAACCACTTCTGGACGATGTTTGCTTGGGTGCTCGTCCAAGTTCAATTGTTGGCAACCAAGGCTGTAATGCACCCTGAAGCGAGTCAACCCTGTTGGTGGGTGTTATGTAAGCTAAGTGGCTATCCGCATGCCAAAATGGCCGAACATCCCAGCAAGAATAACTTCAACAATGTTTGTCAGCGGTCCTGCTTTCTCAATCAAAAAGCAAAACCGTTGGAATGCTGTTTTTTTGTTGAGAATCTATGAGGAGCTGGCACTATTTGTGCTGGTCTCTGCGCTTGTTAGCTTCGATAAAGGACTATGTTCGAGGAATACAACCAGGAGTGCGAGAATTCCTGACCTGTCCACACCAAGCGTTCAAGCTTTGAACTTTGATTTGTTGTCTTCCTCAAGTGGCTGGTTCTTCGTGGAAGTTTAGACTTTTAACGGGATTTGAACCAGTAATCTGGAGAGTGTGAGGTTTGGCATGACTTTCAGGGGACTTTCCCCGTGGGTCCCAGCTTGCCACAGCTCCAGGGCAGATGTGAAGGCCATTATCAATGAGATGGAGAGCGAGAAGCGGCTCTACAACCATAAGGAGCGTGTCGGTTGGTTTATCTCAAAGTAAAGAACCCCACCAGTGCTTGGTTTCGCCTGTAAGCCAGATTCCCTTTGTGCCCGAGTTCCCTCTCCAGGACGCGTTCAGCTTTCGGGTTGCCTCTTTGGGTAAGCGCCCAGGGAACGCTGGACCCTGGTCCAGCGCTCCCTTTCAGCCATGAGGCTAGTTTTCGTTGCTTTCTTGGATTCCGCGGCACAACTCTGGAGAGGCTGAGTCATGATCTGGAAGTGTACGACCTTTCAGGGAAAACCAACAGGAGGCCAACTATTCGTGCGGCCGTCTCAAAATTCGGGTTGGGACCCTGTTCCCTTCCAAAAAGGTGGCCAGGTAGTATTTGGAACCCTAGATCCATTTGCCAGCACCACCAAACCACTGCTTTTTGGACAGTACCTTGGACTTTGCACACGGAGAAAAAAAGAGAAGCGCCAGGCTGTTGGCGGGTGCTGGGTGAAACTTGACTGCTATTGAGTTGGATCTTTAGACTTTAACTTTTTGGAAAATCAAGGGGTTTTCCACTAAACCCCCAAAAAGTTATTCACTTTTTGCAGGGGGGTCGTTGCAGCAACCAAGGAAGCTGAAATCTAATTTTTGGAGGTCCGACTCCTTGAGTCCTAGCCATCCCTTCGAATTGAGCGGAGCTCTGGTTCACTCTGTCTGGTCCACCTGGTCCAAGGGTTTTGACTCCCTTCCGGAGGTCCTGGACTTTGGACGTGGGTGTTTGGACCATTTTGGTGGCGAGCAACAAGTTTGGATTGCTCGTTGGCCAATCTACTCAGGATGTGAGTTGTAGAAAGGCCTAAATGGGTGTGTGTCAAACTAGAGGGGACCCCAAGCCACTCTGGTTCCTTTTGGTTTCCCTTTAAAACCGACCGCTCAACGGGTACCCTCAAAAAAAAAGAAGCTCACACGCCCATGTGTTTTTGTTTTCCACCTTGGTAGAACCAAACGTCGGCTCGGGTGAGAGACGGGTCCAGCTCAGAGATTAAAATTGGCGATACGGATTGCGTCAGGTGGAATTTGAGACCTGGAAGGCCGTGGGGCTCTTGAATTTGTGGTTACGGGGTTACTTTGAAACCAAGTTGCGTCACACGAACGCTGTGGGGCTCGGCTGCGCCTTTTGTTAAACATGCCCTTTTCAAAGACCGGTGAAAAGGGACACCAAAAGGAAGCGAAGCATTTGTTTTCGACAAGCCCATGCCCCTTACATGCATAGTCCATGAGGGCTCCCCGCATCCAATCCTATGACTGACTCATATCCCAAATATCCTCCACCTTCCCTCCACCTCATGTATTCCTCAAATATGTCCAAATGCAGCCTCAACAAGGCCTTAGGGTTTATGTTGGGGAAGCAGGTTATGGGTAGTGAGGTTTTGCAGGGGTATTATTTTTGGGGAACCCAGAAGAGGGGGCGAGGGATAAGCAGGGTTCCTTCACCTAAAGATCACCTGGTACTTGCAGAACTGTAGAACCCTTTGACACTGGCAAAGGCGGTTATTAATTTGGCCAAACTGTATCTTTCAAGGAAGCTAATGCTGGCTGAGCCCGGACGAACGAACCCTTCCCATCACTTGGAGGAGTGTTTCCTCCCAATGAATCCCAGCCCCCATTGATCCACCAGGATTTTGTTTTGTTGCGGGGAGCCCAACAGGGAGGTTTGGAATCCCACCTCCCACCTCCCACTCCAGACTTGCCTTCCCTTCCAGGACAGAGACTCAGGGGAGGTCTCCCGTGTGAAGCCGGGGGACTTGGGACCCCTTCAGTTCGGGTCTTGGGCTATACTGATTCCTAGTGGGTGACGGATCTTTAGACTTTAGCTTCTTGGGATAAATCAAGGGGGTTTCCTTTGAGTTCTCGAAATCCATATTTTGTTTTTGCAGAGGGGAAAAAAAGGCAACCAACCTGCACCACCAAGAAAAGCCAGGGTTTGGCCGTTCCCTTCCCTGCAATATTTCGGGCAGCGCCATATTTATCCCTTGATTTGGTCAGCTAATCATCTCTGAGTTTGGTGGAGGCATGGGGAAAAGGTAAAGAGAGACACATGAACAATGCGAAATAAAAATAGAGTTAAAGAGAAATAGATAAGAGAAAGTCAATATAATACAATACAAGCATGAGAACAATAATAAACAATATGAAACAGATTAGGAAAGTAAAAAACTGTCAATGGAGAAGCCAAATCTTTGCAGAGAGGTAGAGCATAGGAACTCATGTAGCAGCGATCCAATATTCAATAATTAAGGATTTCCAGGACATGTATTTCCTTCTTGGACGGTCTCCGGATGAGTGGTTGGCATGAGAGATAGGTTCCTTCTCTTACCTTTTGCCTTTTCTAATTTCTATCTTACATTCCCAAGGAATTATTGAACACAATTATTATCATATGCCCTTTCTCTTTTCCATATCTTGGTTAGTATTATTTGATTGGCAAAAGGGCTCTCATCTGTCTCTTGGACAGGGGAGAGAACTGTTGGCACAGACAAAGGTGCACCAATCAAGTTGATGCCTCTCGCCCGAACAGCTGTTCGCCTGTTGGGCCAGAATGCCATTTCTCGCGACCAGGGCTGTCCTTTTGAGAAAACCTCATGTTGAAGTACAAGGCTACCCTTTTGCGGGTGGTTTAACAAAAACCACAAGGAAAGCCACAGGAATGCCGGTCCCCGCTATTTTTAGACTTACTCACTTGGTTGTCAGCTCACTTTTGATCCATGGCATTGGCTGGGAGTCAGCTCATTCATATGCAAACTCGGCCACCCTTGCAGATTTCATTTTCAGAGCGTAAGTTGCCCCGGTCCCCGACGCCCTCTGCCATAGCGAGCCCCCTGCGCTGGACTGCACTAGCACCGCTGGTCGCCGAGCCCAAGTATGACTGACTTAAGTGCCGCGAGCCAGAGCTTGAGCCTGGGCCGCGAAAATTCAACGCTGCAAAGCTGCCGTGATTCTGAATCGCTTTTGGATGTTCCGCTGGAGTCTTAGTGAACACACTTTATATTGTAAGATTGACACAGTGAAGAAACTAATTCCACAAAAACAATGGTTTTGTGTACCTTGCATTCAGGCCCAGGTTGCTTCTTCCACATTGTTTTTGTTTGTTCACTGCCCGAATTCTTCCAAAGGAACATGACCTTAGATGCGTCCCTTGGGTAGGAGCTGCCGATTTATTTGGCGACATAATTTGGGGGGGGTTAACGAGCCTGTGATGTAGCTGCAGAGATGATGTTGCAGCTAGGTCACGCGTGTGAAGATCGCCGGGCGGGCGAGGACCACCCGACCATGAAGATATGCAAAATACTGCCGTAGCCCACATGGGGGGTACTCATTGGATCTCCTACAAACATTTTCCCATGCCCTCTTGAAACAAGCAATTCGGACTGTAATTGAAAGGCAAACCAAAAGGAACCCTTGCCATGCTGGGTTCCTTCTCGAATTCCCAGCTTTGTTGCACACCGGTCAAAACAGGCTTTTACCCGGGGCCGCTGTGAAGCCCTAGGGATTCCTTTTACCCTGACCCACACATTTGGAGTTTTGGACCTATGGCGCATGGGTTGACCTCCCTTTCCCTGCGTAAGTCTGGGTAGGTGGTCTGAGCTGGCTGAGAGGGAGCGCACGGAGGAGATTATCAAGGCGCTCGATTCGCGTTCAGCGCTCGATTCGCGAATCAGCGTGATTCGGATCTGAGCCTATATACCTCGAATGCCACTGATATTTTTTTGGTACCACTGCTGCAAAGGAACATCGGCCTCCAGGACCCCTGAGTCAGGTTCCCTGTTATTGGACAGGAGGGATAAATTTTATTTTGAGCAACCTGCTTTCCCATGCAACATGCTTTCTTGTTGTCTTGGATTATACCCAAACAACATGAGCATTTGGATTAGCGGACATTCTATAAGGTGAGCGATTACACCGACTCGGAGTATGTCCCGAGGGAGAACGGTTGGGTTTGTTTTTTGGGGATTCCTGATTTCAGGTTTTGAATTTGTAGAATGTGCAGTTTCTCACTAGCTTGCTCCTATGTAGAGTCAGAGAGTCATGACTAATTTGGCCTTGAAGCTCCCCTCCCCATTCTAATTTCTGAGGCCCAGACAGGGACCTTCTGAGCAAAGCATGGAATAGGAATATGAAAGCGGTCCCTGGTAAAGGAACATTGGTTTTCCGTGTTTTGTTTTGGGGGGGAGGGCCCATATGTGAAGATTTACTGAGTGCTAAATAGCCCGCAAGAGATTCAACAAGGAAACAGCAAGATGATGGGTATGTTTACAAATAAATCGCGGCCTTTCATCTAACACCCTGTGTACGAGTGGTTTGCCAAGCGCAGAAAGAATCCTTGATGGATGTCCGCAACCCAAAATCCTGCACGTGGCCCATGCCAGCGGTTGCTCCCAGTCAATTCCACTTTGCACATTCGGGTCTTGCCTCTCTTGGCCCGTCTCTTCTCCAAAGTCAGACTGGCTCCCCTATAAAGGAACCTTCAACTCAGTTTCAGCAAGGAATTTAACCAAAATCAACATGGAGAGATGCGAAAGGGATGATCGCAGTGTGGGGTGGGCTGATTGGAGCTGAGCGGTCCGCATGACGACATGCTTGTCGATTCTTGTCTTTCTTCGTCTTTCTCATGCTCTCCTTTGAACAACTAAGCCTGTCGGGAATGGGGCACTTGTATTTTCCCCCTTCAAGGCACCCCTTTGCTGGCCTCGCTGTATCGGTCTCTTGATCTTCCAAGATCGCCCCACCCACCCCTCAAAGGTACTGTCTACATCTGCGAACAAGTTTTCTTCACTGTTCTTGCCATTGTTTTAGTTGTTTAGCTGCTTGGTTCTGTTGAATTGTATTGGGTGAATACAAAAGCAATGGTGTTTGTCCGATATGCCAGGATTTGAATTGTGTAGGGACCGTTCTGGCCCAATCTATAGGGTTCCCAACAGCGAAACGTGGGGGCCCTTGGTTTGACAACTGCCGCAGTTTGTTTCTTCACTTTTGGGACGATTCCTGAACCACTATTTGCAGGGGCTGAAAGACCCACCCGGGGACGCCGGGGACTGTTGACCCGAAGCCATCTGAATGTCAGCGATCGCCTATTCTTATCATTTGGGTACAGGGCAGCCATGAAACAGACAGCCCACACTGACGCATGCCAACCCTCGAATCCTAAGGAAGTGTTATGGGCTGTCGGAGGGAAACACATTGCCAGACTTAGCTTGCCGTGTTTACATTTGTTTGATTGTGTTTCCTCAGTTTCCTCGTTTGGCCAGCTGAGAGGTAAGCTTTTTGCAGGGGAAGAATCAGGCCAACAATAGGTAACCGGTGCACTCCCTGGGTATCCTCATAGATCCGTAAATGTCAAGTTGTCCATGCAGCAAACGCAAGCGAAACAACAACACCCAGGCTGAGGGAACAACACAGCTGGAACCATGAGTAACTTGTTGCTGACGTACAGTAGATGTGTACCCCACTTGTGCTGCAAGTCCCCCAAGTGGAGTTAATCAAAGGAGCCAGCCTTAGATCCAAGAAGTCGGACCCAGCTGACAAGGACCCAGTAGCTGAATCTATGGCTTCCCCAAGTCATTCACCCGAGACAATACTGTGGATGGACGAAATCCTGCACCAGCTAAGACACCCTGGAATGATGTTTCCCCTGCAAACACCAGCAAACAATGGTTTCAACCACGGTTTCTTAGGTGGTGCAGGATTTCGTCCATCCACAATATCAGGTGGGTCTGACTCTCTGGGTCCGTTGGTTGTTGAGTTCTGGCCACAGAGACCCGGCCGAACTTGGAACATAGCGGGGCAAGGGGCCAGAGGAGGGGGTCTAGGAAAAGGGTTCCCTGAGTCCTCTCCTATGTCCACCTACTTGCTCAACTAGGCTCTTAATTTGGGGCAGCCCCAGTTCCAGCTGGTGTGTTGACAATTGTTTCTGAGTCAAGTCCACCAAATCAAACATTAAGGTACAAAGACTTCCTAAAATCGGCTATGGATTTCAATAGGGAACCACCTTGAGAGCGATGGGAGGGCATGAATCCCCACCGAATTCTGATTTCCACCAAAGAATCAAAAAAAATCATCATGCCCAGTTGTGCAAGCTTCATGCCCTTGTTTGCACCCCCTCCCCCTCAAAGGCGGGATCAAACCCGCGCGCTTGCGCTAGGCAGTGCGCCAGTTTTCGCAGAAGGCCTACAAGCGGCTCAAGAGCTCCGTCTACGAGGAGCGAAGCGAAGCAAAGATCAACGTTTGCTTCACCAGCAGTACAGATTTCAGTCCCACCGCACACGGACGAAACCCAGTTCGCACCACCTAAGACACCCTAGAGTGATTCGACCCTCCTGTAAATACCAACAAACAATGGTTTTAAGAATGATTTTTAAGTGGCGCGAAATGGAGTTTGTCCATTCACAGTACGGGTGGAAAGTTGACAGGGCCTTGGATGTCCGGCCTCTGGAAAACTTTGGGTTAGCGAGGAGCCGCTCGGTTTGCAACCTGCAAAGGAGAAGATGCACCTCACTTAGGTCTAGAAAGCGGCCGCTTTTGATGCTTTTTTGATGGATCCCGCCTGTTCGTCTCCTTGTGTGCTTCTTTGCTGGTACTAGCTCTGTTACTTCCCTTTTGATATTTTTGCCGGAGTGGATCCACAGAAGCCGTATCCAATGCGTTTCCTGCAGATTAGGGGCGCTTATATAGTCAAGTGGGTTATGACCAAAGTTACCAACTTGCTTCCCTGGCCGAACACACAATTTAATTTGGTTAGCGTGGGAAAGCCCAGTTGCCAGGGTTCTTTGTATGTCTAGTTGCGTTCCCTTCGTTAACCTGCAACCATTCACACACGTTGCGGGAGGAAGACGGCTCTGGCTGGGAGAATCCAGTGTCCTCTTGCAGAGAGTTTCTTCACTTCTAAAGTTCCTACACTTTCGTCACTTTTTGGGTTTGGTTGCGATTTTAGTTGTAAGTAAATAGTTCAGACTTTTTTGGCCAGTCCGCTCAAGAAGTGGATGTTTAGAGGGGGATGGTCAAACAGCAAGCCCTGCGGACCAAATATTGCCACAGGACAAGAAGGATATCGTTTGCCAGCGCGAGAATCCGTTCTACGTGAACACGGCCTGATGCTCAGACAAATGAAGAAACATGAAGAAACAGAGGGCAAGCTTTCTTTGAAGGCATGTTGCAGGACAATCACAATTTTGAGTTCCTCCCCAAAAGGCACACCCATATGTTGTAGCAGTTCAGGATTGCGGCGTGGTGCTTTGGTCAACACACTTATGGCAAAAGGTTCAGGGTGTCAAGTGTCCGGTCTCGACCTCCCAAGGTTGCGGTTCGGCTGTACGCGGTGTTCATTGGGATCACGTGATTTCAAGCACACTGGAATCTGCTTTAAGAGCTGAGAAATTTGTTTCTGGATTTCTTTGCGGATGGCTTCCCTACATCAACTATCTGGGGAATGGATCCCAGGTGGCTACTTACTTATCTCAGCCCATTGAAATGGGCATTTTCCAATACCCCAGCACTGGTGGGTTTTTGGGTTTCCGGTTTTTCACACCGAAGCGAAGAATTTGATGGGAGCTCCTTGAAAAGAATCGGAGGGTACGGCTGTGACTCAGGGGTCGGTTTTTACTCAGGCGACCTAATTTTTGTTTTATTTTTGTAGTGGGAGCGTGAGAAGGAAGGGCAACCCTAAATTTCCCACCAAACCCAGGGCAGCCCAAATTTTCCAAAGCTTCCAGCTTTGGGTCTTTGCGCAGGTAGGCTCGAGAGTGGTTCGGAGCAGGTGTGGGCGCTTGCCGTTGATACCACTTGGGCTTATTGGAGGCTCGGTACCCTTTCTGGGCGGCCAAAAGGAAACCGAAAGCACTCCTTCAACTTACTTGCCCAAAACCGACCTTTTGACCTTGTGTTTTTGCTTCTTTTCTGTCATGGCCCCAAGAGGTCAGCCGTTTATGTCCAGTTGCTTTGGGAACGCTAGTTAAGGGAGCCTGTCCTGAGCCCCCGCTTGTGGAATGAAACCATGACCTGCAGGTCCTGAACTTCCGCGACCGGCGATACATGTTCAAGAAGCAGGCACGGCGACCCGCGCGGTAGGAGAAAGAAGCACTATAGACCGTGGATCTGATGCGTTTGTTTTGCACACGCACAGGTCACAGGTCCTTGCATGGTAGAGGTTGAGTTTTGTTTTTCCACACAGGGCTTGAAGTGAAGCTGACTCCTATGCACGCAAGGGCTTGAGGCATTTGCCAATATGTCAGGGGGTTGATAACTTTCAGCCTAAGAATATGTATTTTTTCCCCTTGTTGGTTTTAAAGGGCATCTATCACTACTTGAAGTATGCTGTCCTCTTTCCAGGTGGCTTAAGCAAATGGAAGATCACTCGTTGAGCAATCGGCTTGGCCAGGCCGTCCCTACGCATGGTGCCAGTTTTGGGCCGAGCCGAGCCCTGTGACTCGAGGATCAGTGGGCAAATTGTTTGGCCTCCCCTCGCGATTCTAAGCGATGGATGCCGGGTCGCCCAGACGAAAGAGTGGAACAAGAAGCTGGAGAAGGCGGAAGAGAGCGGGCGCCTCAGGACGCACCGGAAATCCCCACAAGCACATCCACAGGGGTTTTCTAGAAATACTAGCGGCGAGACAGAGGAGGTTTGGATGCGGTTGTTGTGGACTCCAAGGGTTCTTTCCACCGCTCGGTCAATCTCAAGTTCGGGAACCATCAAAATGGCTTGTTTCCCCGCGGCTTTCCAAACAGCAAGCTTGACAAGGGCACCGTCAAACCTGTTAGTTGTGAATTTGAATTGGGGACCCTTTGGCGGAGCATAGCCAAACGGTTGCCACTCAACCGTGCCTTGCGAGACCTGGATCTGAAACTGAAGCTGGCGAGGCTCGCTCTGCCTCAAGTCTGAGTCTCGCAATCGGTTCCTAAGCAACCCGATTTCTCGAAGTAAAATGGTGGTCCCCTACAACGGCAACATCCAATTCGCTTTCAGCTACCAAGAGGGGTTGAATCGAATCCCGTTTCAGCCTCATGCCACGGATATTGTTTTTGTGGTAACGCTTTGGGGGATGTGTCAAAGGAAAACCAGCAAACCACCCATACTAGTTTGAGAGAATCCCATACTTGGTCAAGGTCCCAAAAGATGCTCACTTGGCACTTCCGGGTCCGACAAGGGCAAGTGAGAGCGCCCAACCGATGGAACTTGGCTCAAGAGGACGTGCCGCAAGACTCCGTTCGAGCCGAGAATGTTGCTCGAAGTCTCGAACTGGGGAACCCGTTAAAAGTTGGTTATGCAACCCAAGAAACGGTACAACAACCTGGATTACTGGCTCCAACGCTACTGATGACCTGCAGCGATGCTTGTTTGCCCGGAAAGCTGTGTATACTACTGGGTTCAAGCAATCATCGCGCAGCCCTTTGTTTTCGGCTTGAAACCCTCAGGACACCCACCCTTTTCAGAAAACTAGAGGAATTATGGAACATGTGTGTGTTGTGTGTGTGCGTGGTTAGTGTGTGGTTGTGCTTTCATGGATGAGGTTGTCCAAGGTAGTACATGTTTTTTTGTGAGGCCCAATCTGGGCCAGTGCAAGTTATTGTTTTGCCAGGATTTGTCAATCCCCAATTGAACAACAATATGGGTGCGCTTTTGAGGGCCCATCATCCATGAAAAACGAAGTCACACGTGGAGTCCGTCCCAGCCGCCTCCGGCGGCTCAGCTGCCCACCGGCGGCCGGTTGCGCCAAGCGCATGGCGTGTCAGCCGCTTTGCTTCGCGTCGCCTTGGAGGACTCTTGGCCTTCCGGAAGGAGCCCTCTGGGGCCAGCAGGTGGATTCTCATTTCGGAACTCAACGGGGTGGTTCCTGTTTTTTCAGGTAAAAAATGATGGCTCTTTTTGGTTGGATCTCTGGATTTGAGCTTGGAAAATCAAGGGTTTCCAATTCATGAAACCCGCAAAAAGTGAAACTCAGTCTTTGCAGAGGGGTCAACAGCAACCAAGAAAAAGGTCCATTTTGAGAAAGATAGAAGTTAATCCCAGGCAAGCCACTACAGCTACCCAACAATTGTCCTCTTTTTTGTCATGGTGGCTTACCTTTGCTTTCCCTTTAGACGAACCTTCAGCAGGGAACCCTCAATTGACATTTACACACACCCATTTTTGAAAGGGCCCGTTTTATGGTTGTGGATGTGGAATTCAGTGCTCTGAGCCCTTCCTAAAAGATATGCCTCTTGATTCATGGGTGCGTCAAACCTTTTGGCCATCATGGACTTGTCTAATTTGTTGGGTCTATATATATATATATACATGACCATGACCATGCCCCAGGTGCTTGAACCATAGGGGCGTGTACCCTCGGAGCAGGAAGTTGTTTCACAAAAGCCAAGCAAAGGACTTAAACAAGAAATATGGACCATGGCTGTGTACTTTTTGAGGGTACCGCTTTTTGGGGTGGTTTAACGGGCTCTGATTCGGGGGGACGTGCATAGGAGGGTTCTGGTGGACAGCTTTCTTTTTGGACACCACCCTGGCCTCCATGATGGCTTTGATTGACGGAAACAGGGTAGAAGATGGTCACCGTTCCTAAATGGCCGTGGTTGTCAAAACCGTTTTGGTATCCCATTTTTGAGCTTTTCGGTGCACCACCCATTTTAGGACCTATTTGAGTGGTTGGATTGAATCGGATGTTCACTGGGGGTACGGGCTTTTGACCCATGACCAAATGAAGTCCTCTACTGGGGGGGATTGATGGGGATTGGGGGATCCCTTATTTCAGGTTATGGGATTGTAAAGCATGCAGAAGGATGGTTAAAGTCAAGGGTAGACCATGGCCTGGGGTGCTTTAAGCCGTTCCCAAAGGAGCCTGAAACCTCAACTTTCATTTGCTTCAGGTTGTTTGTTACTTTTTCTTGTTGGTTTGAAAAGAATATATCCCACTGGACATATCTTCATGTGTTCCAAGGGACATATTCGCAAATGGAGCTTCGTTGTTCCTCTCTTTCCGGTCGAAGGGGACCCTGAGCAGGTTCTAACAAACTATATTCCAGCTTTCACCAAGGAAGAACCATATGCGTAGCATCCTAGAACCCATTTCTTAACATCCAATGTAGGGTTACCCAACTTAGAAGAAGAACCGTTTTTTGCTTGACATGGGTAGCGGTCAATATATATATATTATATATATATACATACATACATACATATCATGATCTTACTGCAGTACTGAACCCGCTTTTATACTTGGGCCTTCAAAAAACAAACCATCCGTGCCGCTACGCTTAGTATGGCCTAGACTCCAGAAGTAAGTTTCAATGTGCGTGTTTGAGGCTAGTTTGAGGGTCGGTTCAGGTTTTGGGCCGTGGCTAAACGGCAGGAGCCAGCCGTGCGGAGATCAAATCCGCATACCGCCGACTGGCGCTGAAGTTTCATCCGGACCTGGACAAGTCCCGTCAGGCCGGACGTCAGGCCGAGAAAGCACCAGGCGAAATGTATGGGGGGTGGTTCTCAAAGGTGTGGGGTTCTACCATGAACCAACCCAGCTTGAAGTTGCCCAATTTGAGAAGCACCCGCCCGTGCCAGAGGCAGTGTCTTCTTTTCTGAGGCCATTATTGGGTGGTTGCAAAAGGAATCTAACAGGAAACAACGAGTTTGTGGGTCCCTATTATTTCAAGACACGCCCATATGTGCCAGGGACAGTCCCAACCAGAATTAGGTACGAATATCCGCCTTGCAGTTCTTCACATTATGGTTGGGTAGGCCATTTTTAAAGCACATGGTTTTTATTGTAGCTGAGACGGGTTTGTCTCAAAGGTTTGTTTCCTTTAGGTTTCCCCTAAAGCCAATCAAAAGGGTTTCTGACAAGAAAAGGGCACACTCATACATGAACCCTTGGTATCAACTCGCCGTCCTTGGCTCAATGCTCATTCAGTTGTGGCACGATGAGTAGCATAGGGGTGCATATTTTCGTAAAGCTGCTCCTGCACCCCCGCGAAACACACCAGAGCCCAAACGATCAACTTGGTCTACTTTTGTCTCCCCGAGTGGTGTACTTAGGGGGTATTTGTTGTGCGCATCTGAGGGTGGGGAGTGCAACCTTTTGGACTTTCTTCAGTCAGGGGGCACTCGCGGGCTCTAAATGGGTTCCCGCCGCTAAGACAATCACGATGTTCATCCGAAAGGACCCCATGTCTTAGATTCCACCCTAAGCATCGTGGGCCCTCAAGTCAGGCAATTCCCTTTTTGAGGTCCAACACCTTATGGAGGTCCCGTTCCTTTATGGAGGCTCCTTTCTGATGCTTCAAGCAAATCGAAATCGTCGACGCTTTTGAGGCCACCTCGCGGTTCATGGAAATTCGCAATGCCTACAAGCAACTCATGGCCTCGCCAAGTCGCGGCTCGGCGGTCCAGAGCCGGGCGGGGGGCTTGTCTTTGTGAGGGACTCCTTAAGAGATGTGGTGGTCCTTTTGCTTTCCTTACAAAACAACCCAACAAAAGGCAGCACGTCTGATTTTCTGAAAGCGTCCGAGAAAGGGATTCCCCATGTTCGCTATGTTGGGGTGCATTCTGATAAGCCAGAGTTTGGAAGGTTGGGTGTGGGCAGGCTATGCTTCTTGCATCCTCGCGGAATGTTATGGGATCAAGTAGTCATAGGGATAGCAATCGCAGCCTTTGGCCACAGAACTTTGAACTGGTCATGTTTGACAATGAGCAAGGATGGAAGGCATTGGACTGAAGGCCATCATGAACAGCCAAATTATTTGACAGGTTTGCCCAAGGCTTTAACCCCTCCCTTTGGTGACTTCCGATTGAGACCTTCTGGAGGAACTGCCCATTTTCTTTGTAAGGAGAAGGATGTTGGGTTGTCGTTAAGACATTCAGACTCCCATCTCGCTTGGTTGCTTACTCAAGAGTAGCCACCCCTCTTTCATGTTCTGATCCACAGGCGTAGCAACTATTACTGACCAGTCAGTCACCATTGAGAGCTGGCGCACATTGTTTAAGTCCAAATGGGCTGACAAAAATACCCCGCGCCTTTTCGTTATGTAAGGGGCCGTCCCTTAACTTGTTTCGCAGGCCAAAACCATTGTAAACCGATACAGAGAAAGAAAACCCGATACCCCCAGAAGCCATGAAGACACACATCAGGTCCAAGTCGTTGTCGCAAGCCAAGATCGCGGAATCATAAATTTGCAGGGCCCAAACCGATACCCAAACCGATACCCAACCGATACCCAACTCAGTGGCCGCCACACCGAATCCAACCAGCTGCCCTGCAGCCTTCCCTGGAGCTGCCAAAATGTACTTTGTGTACCACATTTGTACTTAAAAACTTACTTGCACTGAAAAGCTGCGATTTTCGAGCCGAAGCTGCCAAAGTCTACTGCGCATACTACTGACAAGTTGCGACTTTCCAGCTGGAGTTGCCAAAATGTACTTTGCGTACTACACTTGTACTGAAAAGTTGCGACTTTCCAGCTGGAGCTGGGAGCTGTACGGAAAAGTCACGACTTTCGAGCTAGAGCTGCCAAAACACTGCACACCGATGCAGAGGAAAAAACGATACTGACCGATACTAGGGCATAAGGATACAAGGGTTGTCCACGGGGTTGTTTTTTCAACCCAAATGCGTATGTGGTGATGATAGCTTCCAAATCCTCAATTTAAAATGTTGCATGTTCAAGTCTTGATGGGTCCAACTGAATCCAGCCGTGTTTTTGAGAAAAAAAGAAAAGGCACGGGGGATTTCGGCCCTTGGCCATTTCTCCAGGGCAGGTTCCATGCTTGGTACCTGCTGGAACCCACGCCCATTTGGCTGTGGGTCAAAACCAATGGTCCCATTTTGGGGTGCACCACCCATGTTAGAACCTATTTTGGTGGGGATTGACTCGGATGTTCACTGGGGGCTAACCGATTTGGCTTTTGACCCATGGCCCATGTCGATCTCTTCCCTTCGTCCCCAGGCCAAAGAAGAAGCCCGCGGAGCCAAAGGAGTCGGGCGGAGCACAGCCCAGAACCCCGCGCCAGGCGGAGCAAAGCGTCCGGAGCGGGCGCCAAGTGAAGCGGCGGCGAGAAATGGGGCGACCTCAAAACGGAGCTTGGGTTGGGAGATGGAGCCATGGACGAAAAGGTGCGGTGCAAGTGCTGGTCTTTTTGGACCCACCGAGTTGTTGTCAGGTGGAAAGCTGAACCATGTGGGTTCCAAGCCACGTGGCGAACTGGAGCTCTCGGGATATTTCAGGCGGTTGGGTGAGATGGTTTTGGCAACCCCCCCCCTTTTCTTTTTATCCCCTAACATCACCCACTAAAGGAAAGTTCACGTTGAAAGGGGAAGTAAACCAAATCCTGGCGAATACTTTCATGCCAGGGCCCCTGATATGGACTTCTGGGCATCATCAAGCTTGGCAAACCTACCCTCGCGACCCTGGGCCGCAAACAGCTGTCAGTGCCCGGCACCAACCCGCCGTCTCCGCAACCGTGGAGTTGCGGGCAAGCTGGAGCTAGCCTCATAACCACCAACCATAGTAGTTCGGCCGGGGTTTTCTCCCCTCTTCAGTTTAAGGTTGCGGCCATTTCCAAATGAACCCGTACTGAGCGTATGTGATTGAACCTCAAGCAAAGAACCTACACAAAGCAAGAGCTAATGAAGTGCCCCCAACGTGTCCTGTTTGTTTTTGTTTCGTTGCTGGGCAAGTCCGGGTTCCCGGTATGTCCCTTTTGGTGGTTTTGCACATCACGTGTTGGTCCCTGAGGTGAGTTATTTTGGGCTTTGAATGGACTGAGGAGAGTCCTTCGCCTACTTGATGCTTTTCCTCATTGTGGCGCCCTACTTGCTCAGCTTTCTGGATTCGCTTTTCTGGCTGATCGGCCGAAGGCGCGGGTTGCTTGGACCGGACCCGGAACCTTACCCTTCCAAGAAAATATGGAAGGAACCTGAAAGATAACTCATTTTTAGAGAAAATGGGCCAAACTAGGGGTCCTTTTCAGGTTTCATTTTCCCCAGACACCCAGTGGTGCCCTTAGTGTTCTTTGTTTTGCAGGGGTTCCCTTCAACTGAACAGTCCGGTTATTGTCTTTTGTTTTGCAGGGGTTCCCTTCAACTGAACAGTCCCGGTTATTGTCTTTGTTTTTCACCAGTTTGACCTCACAATGAACAATTCCCCACAAACCAGCAGGGGTTTCCAACGTTTCGGGTCAGTTCTCCTCCCTTTGGTTCTCAACAAAGCAACGCCGAAAAGGGTAACCAACTCCAAAAGTGACACACCCACAACATGCACATATTTGCTCACCCACCTGAACGTGATGCTTTTTTTGTTTTTGGCAATACTGGGCGAACTTATTCCTGCCTTCCAACAGTGGAGGAATCATTTGGAACAATGGCTAGTTGTAGAGAGCAAATGATGCTTTGCTTCAGATGCATTCGATCGGGTTGCCCTCGTTGCACAGATGCTACATGCTGCTGATACCTGCCCCCGGAGCACGCCAAGTGCAAATACAACGGCAATGGCTTTTGCAGTTCTTTTTTTCCGCAAGATCCAAAACCCCCGTGCTTGCCATACTCACATTTGTCCGCTGAAACGGCATCCAACATCTCGGTTGCACACATGCGAGTGAGCAAGTTAGCAACATACCTCGGGATCGAGCGGATTAGTCAGAAACAAGTCTACCCTTTTTGTTTACCACTCAAATGGTCAAAACCCAAAAAGTGACTAAAGTGCAGGAACTCTGCTCCCCCTGCCCCTCATGTCCTGCAGGCCTTAAGACCGGAACTTAGTCTCTCGTATTGGGGAAGAAAAGGGAATTGGAGAGGTTGGGGGGAGAGGTTGGGGGAGTTGGGGAGGTTGGGGCAGGGAGGTCTTGCCAGGTGAATGTCCAGATCCTCGCAAACCAGCTCCGAGCCGAAGGAGCACCCCTCGCGGAATGTGGAGAAGGACTCCCCATGTGAGGTGTGCGGTTTTTGGGGGGGACCCGGGGACCCGCCAAAATGGCCATGGCAATTTAGCCACGAAAATAGGTTCTAAAATGGCTGGTGCACCGAAATTCCCCAAAATGGGATCCCATTGGTTTGGACCCACAGCCAACTGGCTTCGGTTCTCCTGCTGGTCTTTCTCGAAATCCACGAAAAAAAGGCAGGCAGCGGCTCAAAAGACAAACAGGTTGGGGCCGTCTTGTGGCCATGGCTTTGGACCGGGGCTATGGCTTTTCTATCGATTCCATGGCAGCATTTGTTTGCTTTTTAGGAGGTACTCCTTGTGGACGCCCAGGGGAAGCCACATGTGAGGGGGAGATTTCTTTAAGTCACACACCCAGTGGCTTCTCAAGGTGAAAAAGGGCCCTTTTTGGCGGGTCTTTCAGCTGGGCTGTTTCAGAGGTAATCCTTAATCCTTACCTTGGGGTACGGAAGGGGTCGCTTTTGTGGTTGGCTTCTCTGTAGGGATTGTGGATTAGGATTGACCAACCCTCCATTTTGAACAGCCCAGTCCCTGGAAACCACCAGGACAGCGCAGACATTGGTTGACAAGGCGGCCAGAGCCGAGCCTCCGCCAGCGGCGGCCCGGCAAGCCGACGCGGCGGACTGCCGGGAATCTTCAGGCGAGCACGCTGTCCCGAGCCACAAACGGTACCCGAGGAAAAATGGTACAGTTCGAAATGAAAGCAACATATGGGTGTGGGTCAACATTAAACCACTATGGGACCGCAGGTTTTAGTCAATGTTTCCATTTACCAGGGTTCCATTTTGGGTGCCTTTTTTTGACCCACAGCCATATTATGCATGAACATGTGCATATATATATATAAGTACATCTATGTATGTATATTCTATAGAATCTCCCACGCAAAGTAGTGGGGAGTAGTCTTTATGCCGATATGTGTCGGCTTTGTTGAACTTTATTGAGGACTTGAAGCTGCCATATTTGATTGGGTGCAAATTACCTCCAAACAACTATCCCCAAAGGAAATGTTGTGCTGTATGTAGCCTTGTTAGATGTTAATGAATCGCATGTTTCCACAACCTTCTTTGAATGGCAGTGTCAAAGCAGATAGCCACCTTGCTCCACGTGGGGAAAATGTCTTGTGAAATCGACCCCCCTCCGGAACCCCATCCACTTGTGTATGTAGTCGGCTCCGCAAGAATTACTCTTTGCAGGTTCATACAACAGGGAGTGTTGGCCAAATGCTCAGCGGCCCTCTTAAATGCGACATCCCACTATCAATCAACCTGGGATTCGATTTAGATGTGAAGCCGCCCCTACTGCTATGAATATGTGAAGCAGTAGTCCATGGGGAAACCAGATATTTCACAGCAGAACCTCAGCAGCCTTCGAATGTGTTCATGTCCACGGGGAACAACATACCCCAGTGCTTAATGTTGCTTATACAAGGCTTCATCAAGCATGTTTACTTGAATGACATGTTTGAGTGCTTTGTTTGGGAATCCACTTTGTTTCATACACAGCCCTCAGTGGTTCAGTGGCACCCTTTCTTCCCTTTGGCTGCCCCACTAAATATGGTCTTTCCCAAAAAAAGGGTTCCCTTTTTTTCCAGGGTCGCTGAACAACTGAGAGCCAATCACTGCCTTTACGCAATCACTGCCAGGTGTCTCAGGTGCGAAGCATGCGCTTCGGTGGGTCAGCGAACAAAAGGGAGTGCTGCGCTGCGATCCCTTCGGCTTCCTCGACGGTGTTCTGGCCCGCGCGGAAATTCGCATTCAAGTGCGAGTCACAAATGGGGCGTAACGAGGGGGTGTATCATTCTAGTTGTGGTCAAACTGACTTCCTCAGCTGGTTGAACGTCCAAGCATTTGTCACCTTTGTTTTGCATTTGCCAGTTTGTTTGTCGGATTTGTCAAGGGAAAGGCCGATCAGAACAGCAATCTTAGCATGAACAAAATGAACCACTGTGACAATCGGCTCCTTTGTCTTGGCAGACACAACCTGCGCAACAAACCAAGCCCAAAAGGTATGTTACCTCCTAAGCACTGGAACCTGCGTCAGTAAACAGCTACCGCGAGTCGCGAGAAGGTTTGACCTCTACCCAATTGAGTGCAAACAGATGATGGTCTCCACAGGTCAAGCGCGAGGGCCGGATATTCAGCCGCACCAACCACCCCAAAGACCCTCCATGGAGTTGACCCATGGGGCCAAACGAGCCCAATGCAACCGGGTTGGGGAGGCTTTCGGCTATGGGCGGCAGGTTGGGGGGGGGGGGGCACTTTGGTGGGAGGTTTGGCCGGGTCACTGAAATATGTCGCCAAAGCCTGTCTCGTGTTTGTGCTGTTGAACTACCCTTTTGGTGTGTTGTTTCAAATTTCAGGGACACCGCCGGGAAGCCACCGTATGCTTCCGTTCGGGTGTTCGGGCGCAAGCTAAGTTGGTACCCTATGCGTCAAATATGGTCAAATACCTACTAAATTCTGAGTTTTTAAACCTAGGCGACTAGCAACTTTCTGACTTGGCCGAACATCCAAGTAGCTTGCAAGGAAGGCTTAGGCCAATGTCTTTCGAGTCGCCTCGTAAAGCCATCTCGCGCGGAGGTGGGGACTTGGTCGCCAAGACTGAGGCGAAGGCAAGCGAGGGGTTTGGAGGGCAAGGTTTCTTTGTTTTGCCAGCAAAAGATTGCGTTTTGGAAACGTCACTTCCTGAGTTCCTGGACGCTATACTTTTTTGGGGTAGGATCATGTTGGTAACAAACAGAAAGTTTGGACTGTTGTTTTTGGTTTTCCAATCTACTCAGGAAGTGAGAATCCATGCACCAGGTGGGATGGATGAAACCGACGCAGACAGACAGACAGACAGACATACAGATGAACGAACAGACAGACAGACAGACAGACAGACAGACAGACAAACAGACAGACAGACAGACAGACAGACAGACAGACAGACAGACAGACAGACAGACAGACAGACAGACAGACAGACAGACAGACAGACAGACAGACAGACAGCTAGACAGCTAGAGGTACTAGATACCATATATATATATATATGAGGGCCGTCCTAAAACCCCAGTCTTCGGTTTTCATCACCGCCGAACGGGGAGAAGTAAAAGTTGTGCAAA